TCAAAACAAGGTGGAACCACCTTGCGAACCCAGACCGGAGGCCGTTCCGGGCTCCACTAGCTGCCGTATCAAGCCTTGAAGTCGCCATTTCTGGGGCAAGCACTCAATGCTCTAGCGATACCCAGCAAAAGCCATGGCCAGTGGGTCATATGAGACTTGTGGTTGGAGTTATCTGCTCTGGTTGGCTGGGGCTGAAAGTGCTGAAAGTTACCCCCAAAATGGCCAATGTCATCGAGAATGATCAACTCTTCATGTGGAGCGTCCTCTTTTGTTTGAAGCTAACAAAAAAAACTGACACTGGACAAATCTGGACAATATCTTGCCCTGAAACAAAACGGGAACCTGCTCAATTCTAAGGTTTTGGCATATCAATGACTGGCAAACATGGCCAATCTTCGAGTGGGTTCGATTCATAGATCCCCAAGTAGCAACACGGGATTCGTTGCATTAAACTACCCAGCCAGTTGGCCCAGCAAAAAAATGTACAAAAGGAAGGAAAAGCGGTTCCCTAAAGTTTGCTGCTTTAAGCTGTCCGTCTTTTTTTGTGCATCCCAATAAAACAATTCCAACAGCACAACCCGCTTCGATGGGCTATGATCTGTGTGAAATACATCGAAACGTATGTACCCTCTGGCAAACATGGCTAGCTGGAAAATTCCCTATTTGCTTCCATGAATTTCCCATGAAAACCTCCATTTATGTGATGTGCCATTATTTTCCTATGTTTTTCCCAGGATTTTCCGATTAAAAATCTCCATGTCTGGGGGATTTTGAAGCTAGCCACGATGGGAGCTGACGGTGATGACACGGCGTTTTTGGTGGAACATTGTGGAACTACGTATGTTTCTTAGATGTTTGCTTAGATGTTGTTAGATAGATGTTCAACTACTACAGTAGATGTTCAACTAAATGTTATTACACGCTACTAGAGGTTGTTAAATGTTGTTAGATGAACCATACAACTTCCATAGGCTAATGATATCATTAGATGTCATTAGACAATGGAAGTTCAAGTGCAGCTGCAGCTTTCCATAATTCAGAACTGGTGCAAAAGTCTGCAGATCAAAGAATTCAATGTGGCATTTACCGAGCAGGTGTAATAACTCACATAAAGATGGAACAGGAATGTACCACTATTTTAGATTTTGGACTGTGGGATTTGACTTTTCCTTTTGGGGCTTGCTCTATAGGTTTGTCTGAAAATGGGGTTCGGCTAAATTCACTGGTTTATCATGATTTTGACTATAAAAAATGTCAGAAACGAAGGTGTACCTATGTATACCCCATTTTGAGACACACCCAAGTATGGTTATATATATATATACATTATATCCCAATATTATCCCAATATGTGTTGGTGAAGTCACCATTTTGGTTGGTCAAAATCACCACGCATAGACTCCACGCTTTGCCCAACCATAGCCCATGAAGTTGTGGCCCATGCAGTGCTGTCATCCAACTCAGAGTCTCGGACCACGATTTTGTACCCTCGCATATCGAGAGTGCCCATCTGGCTGCAATCCCTCTGACTACAACCAGAGACTTACACATAACTTACACCGTAATTAATGTCAATCATTGTCAATCCCAGATTAATGACAACCTCTCGGCTACACTTGGAGGGTACCATTTTGGTAGCCAATTCTCACTTTTCAGCGTAATCCCCTTTATCCATCAACCAGTCTTTAGGTTTGCTTAATCCAGGGTTGACACTGACCAAAATTGCCAGGCATGAAAACCAGCCCTGCCAGCTGGTTCATGAACTAAATCGAATGATATTGCAGATGAGATTGGCACAATCTGCCACATGTCCCATTGGACACGGAGATTCATGGTGTTAACACCTTCGTGCTGACACAAATCGATCTCATAATCGATCCCTACTCCTCAGCAGATCAAAATTCAATGGAAAAAAACAAGGATCGAGCCTGGAAGGCCATCCCTAAAACGGGTTCATGCTCCTCAGCATGCCCATCTCTCGAGCGCTTCCTGCTGGAAAAAAAACGTCAGGTTTCCCACAAATACTTGGCGAATTGCTAGGGGTATCGGAAACTCCGTGATTCAGGGAGTGCTGCCATCCATGGCTGTACATTTTTTTCGACGCTCACCCCAGAACCCTAGACAACAGATAAATGATGAACCGCCCAACCATTTGTTGTGTAGGGAATCTTCACTGCCATAACTTGCATAATAAAATAGCTGTTTATTTTTGGTTCTTTGGGGTGCCAGGTGCTAAATTTCACAAATCAGCTTGAGGGTTGCACCTTATCCCACACCTTGTATTTTACATACTTGCTAAATTTCTCTAAGGGTTTCACAAATGGCCCCAAACCTGCTACAGATTTGAAGTGCTTGGTGAACAAAAATAGAGATACTACCAGGATTGACATCTGGGGAAACGAAACCCCGGAATACACCTTCATGGCTGTGAAGTTTCCTTCAAGGAGATCCCACGCTCTTCCGCAGACATGGTTCAAGTTGTCAAGGGAAATCTTGCACCGAACCGTCTATCTTTGGTGGCAAAAACATGCAAAACAGACCAAAAACAACATGATGTCCATTGATTTCCTGCAAGTAATTGTTCCTACAAACCATAAACCACACCCTGGGCCGACCCAACAGTTACATTTAGCCCAGCTGCCCAGCTTTGAAACCCAGTGAGGGTTTCAAGGTTTCTCAGCATTCCTGTTGGGAACTATCCAAAACTAGGGTCGTTAAGCCTGTCACGAGCCCTGCTCTGGATGGTCTTGGGGATCTTCACCAAGAAAAAAACACCCCAATCCCTTCCTCCTGACACCACACCGGAAGAACTCCGGAGGTCTCAAAGGGAGACGGTGTATTCCAATCCAATGCCCTCATGCCACGCGACGTGCAAACCGGCCAACTTTGGGGTATCGGTACCACTTGACACACGGAATTGGTCACTTGTTGTTTTTGTAATCACTCTTCAAATTACAACAATTCACAACATGTTCGGGACTCGGAGGGCCACTTAGGCGGTCAACTTCAATCATTCACTGGGGAACCATACCCAGATGGGTTTGACGGAAATAAGTTGGGTTGGATACCCACAATTTATGGCCATTTGAATGGTGAAAATGGTCTGTGTAGAAATTTCTGGGAATCATTTGACACTCTGAATGACTTCAACGACGTGGGACTGGGTCAAAAGTTAAGGCCCAGAAAATTTGGGCAGATTCTGGGCCAATGTGTGGTTTGACCCATACCCAAATGCAATGGTTCAACGATCCAGACCCCAAATGACAGCATGCTTCCATGCAAGGTGATGAGTCCATCTTCACTGAATTACAATAATTCACCAATCTTGAATACAGTGAAATTATGCAACTTAATTCACCCACATCAAAAATATACGTTGCACTTGGGATTGCCATCACGGTTCTGGTGAAATCCCCCTCTAAATGGGAAGTGTGATTGTAAGGAGTGGATTCTTCGGAAGTCTATTGAATCTGTGGAAAATCTATTGCAAGGTTGCTCAGAATCGCTCAAAAGTGGAAATCCCCCAACAGGATGGGCTCAAGCGACCAGGTCGGTCACTGCTCAGTTCTACTGTCTACATGTAGTCTGTGGCAAACATGGCGGGCTACTTCGATGATTTTCCCACTACCTCCATTTTTTGTTTAGGGATTTCCCAGGATGCCCCAGCCATATTTTTTCCCAGCCTTCAGGCTTCTGGTCCGTCCCTTTTCACTTTGGTGCCAAGATTCGAAGTCCCTGAACCTCTTTCGATCCACCTTCCTCTCCTTTGTTTCTTGCTGGCGGTGGAAGTTGGAACTTATGGCCATTCTTCATGTTTTCGCTATTGCACATATATATTATATTTTATTATATTATATTATATTATATTATTTTATTTTATATTATATTATTTTATATTATATTATATTATATTAAATTATATTATATTATATTAGTTTATTTTATTTTATATTATATTATATTGTATTATATATATACATATTATATATATGATTATATATATTATTATTATATATATATTATATATATACTACTATATTAATATTATATATACTATTATATATATATTATATATACTATTATAGAAATTATATGTATTATTTATATTATTATATATATAATACATATATATATATTAATATATATTACTTTATAATAATATATATTATTATATATATATTATATAATAGTATATATTATTATATATATATTATTATATTATATATATATTATTGTATATATATGTGTGTTATTTTATATATTATTATTATATGTAGTATTAAATATGTATATATATATATTATATAGTATTAAATATATATATGTGTGTGTGATTTATATATATGTATGTATATATATGTTTTTATTATTATTATTGTTATCATTACTATTGTTATTATTGTTATTACTATTATTATTAATAATATCATTAATATTATTAATTTATGTCTATTATTATGTGTATGAATATATATATATATATTTATGAGATAATATGTGTATATATATATTATCATTATTTATTATCATGATTTATTACTATTGTTTATAATCATTGTTATTATTTTACAGTATGTCTATTATTATTATATCTCTATTATTATTGCTATTATTATTAATAATTATTGTGATTATTATTATTATTATGCGTATGAATATAATGTGTATATATATATGTATATTATATATATATATTGTGTGTGTAATGAGTAAGACCAAAAATGGCGGGATCTTGTTTTCACAAGGACACTATAAACTATGTCAGTATCATACTCTCTCAAATGGTGTTCGAACAGGCAATAATACTGGTGTTCAGGAACAATACTGCTCGGTGGTTTCAACAAACGAAATCTCATGAATGTGGCATCGTAGGCCAATACTAAACCAGGGTCTATGTAGAAAAAGGCATTTGATCCTTTTACTTTGGGGAAGGTATTACTTAAAATTAAATCATTGAAAGGTGCAATCACCCACAAGCCAGTGATTTCGGCGTTTGCATCATGCGTAGCTAGCCCTCTGGGATACTTGCGCTACACTTGGGTTGCAATCGTGCTTGCGAACTCGACAGTCATCAAGCTACATCAATCGTGTGAGAAAAACCCTAATTAAGTACCCACCCTCGTGTAAATTAGAATAGCTACGGATTTGTGTTTTTTCAATTGATGAATCATCTATAAATGGACCGTTCTCCATAGCAAACTGTTAGTCATGACCAAAGGGTGAACCATTCCCCACCTCTCTTGCGATCATCTATGATTCCGTCGTCTATTTAAGTGCCTGAGGTGGCCCTGGAACGGATGATCTGCATTTCGGCTGTAGAAAAATGTACCAATTTGTGGCCTCTGGGTAAACCCAAGAGCAACCCCCAACCCCAATTCTTTCTGAATGACCTTTGAAAAAACAATCATTGAATCTCATGTTGGTCTGGGTTTTCGGTTTACCATATTACTCATCTCCACCCTCAAACCCCCAGACCCATGCCGAAACACGAGGATGCGCGGGTTGGCTTGCACACGAACCAAAAAAAGCCACAACGGATCTCCTGCAGAGAAAGTGCTACGGATGGAGATCCCATGGTGAAAGACCTCTAGTACCGTTGTTGTGCATGGGATTTTTCTTCACGTTGCTCTCAACACCCCAGACAGAAGGGGGGGAACTGTGTGTATATATATTTAAAAGCAGCACCCATTTTCTCCACCTGACTGGGGTCAGTGGGCCTTGCGTTTCCTTCAGGTGCGGCGTTCGGCGAAGACACTCATGGCTCAGGCGAGACAAAGGAGCAGTCTTAACGGTGTTTGGATCTAGGCGAGATCCGTGGGCCTGGGCATTTTAACTGGTAGCGGAGCCCCCAAAACGGGGGCATCCGGTTTAGCCCTGTTGGCCTGTGATCCTAGGTGGGATCGGGCGAAAAGCAGCACTAGGCTGCCATGGCGACTGAGCAACGCGATGGCAACGCTCAGTGGAAACGGTTCAGTGGCGATGATCTGGATGGCAAGGCGTATAGACGCTGGAAGCTCTGGGTCGAAGCCAAAATGGCAGCCTCCAAGGATATCACCAGCAAACAACGCGGTCCCTTCGTGTACTGTCTGCTGGATGGCACAGCTTTGGAATCGGTGGAGCATCTGACCCTAGAGAAGCTCCAGGAAGAGTCCGGTGATCGTTACATCTGGGATGCCTTGAATGAGCGCTACCCGGACAAGCAACAACATGACTGGCTGGCAGAGTGCCTTCGTGAAGTCTTTCAGATTTCAGCGAATGAAGGCGAAGGCATGATGGCATGGACCTCAAGGGTTCAAGAGGTGTTCTCCAAGTGCAAGCGCAAGGTGCAGGTGGATTTTCCAACCGAGGCCCGTGGCTGGATTTGTCTTCATGCTGCAGGCTTGACGGAGGACCAGCGGGCAATTGTCACTGCAAAGACCCAGGGTGACATGAGGCTCGATGTGGTCATGGCCGCCATGCGCTCATGTTTTCCAGATTTCAAAGCTCCCTCCAAGACCGCGAAGTCCCGAGGTTCAGCAGCCTATGTGGTAGAGGAAGATCCAGTGGTCCTGAAGTTTGAGCCCGACTCCGATGATGCTGAGTCCTCGGACAACATGTTGGCCGACGTCGAGGCGTTTCTGGCCGATCACGGCGTCCGTGAGGAGAGTCCTGAGACTTTCTCTACTGCCCTCTTCGATGAGAAGGAGGTTGCCGAGATCCTAGCAGCGACCTGGAAAGAGAAGAGAGCAGAGATTACCAAGTTGCAGCGCAGCCGCAAGTTCACTCAGGCCTCGAACATCAAGAAGCAGTTCGCCCGAGAAGCTTCTGACCTCAAGCGGAAGTCCAAGTGCTGGAATTGTGGCCGCCCAGGACATTGGTCACGAGATTGCACGGCTCCGAAGTCCTCTAGTGCCTCTTCCGAGAACGACAAGCACAAGACCCATGGCGCTGCAGTTGCAACATGCCTCTCTCCGGAATCTGAATCTGGTGAGACCTTTTTGGTGTCTTCCCCAGGTTTTGGCATAGTGGATAGTGGGTGTAGCAGAACCTTAATTGGCCAAGAGACCCTCAACTCCTTTTTGCGGCTTTTTCATGACCTGAAGCTTCCGACTCCCGAAACCAAGTCTCAAAGCAATTTGTTTCGTTTTGGAAACGGCAGTGAAGAATGGTCGGAAAGGGTAGTCACCATGCCGATAGGAATTTCTGGACGTAGAGGTTCCATAGAAGCTGCAATCATCAAGGGAAATGCACCTCTGCTTTTGAGCAGAACCACCATGCGTTACCTCCAAGCGGTCCTTGACTTCAGTGAGAGCAAGATCTCCTTGCTGGGTGCACAGGCGCGTCCAATGACCTTCAATGAAGCTGGCCAGGTGATTGTTAACATGCTGGACTTTGAACCTCACTCTGCTCTTCTCGTGCAGAATGACGAGGTGGTTTCGGCTTCTGGCAAACTGAGCAAGCGGGAGCGTCGAGTGGTGCTCTCTCAGGTGAAGGCATGGTCCAAATCTAGCTCTAGCTGCAAGGTGGCCGAGCTCTTCTCCCCTCCACGCTTTGCGAGGGTTGCTGAGGAGATGGGCTATAAGGGCCTCTCCTTTGACTTACAACAAGGTTGGGACCTGACCTCTCCATCGGTGCAGCGAGATGTTAGCACTGCTCTGGAAGAGGCCAAGCCAGAGCTCTTGGTGGTGTGCCCTGAATGCAAACATTGGGGAGGTTGGTACCGTTTGAACCAACATCACCTTTCGATGGTTGAGCGATTAGAGAACCAAAGGTATGCCAGGAAGCAGGTTGATTTCTGTGTCCAGGAGATCAAGAATCAAATCAAACGTGGGGGTCGTGTGCTGATCGAACATCCATGGAGTTCTGACATGTGGCAATACAGTCCCATGATGAAGGTCACCAAAAACATGTTCAAATGCCGAGTGGATCTGTGTGCCTATGGGTTGGTAGATGACAACCAGACCCCAATTCTGAAACCGACAGCCATCATGGTCTCCCACGCTGACATGCGAGACCTGGCCCTCACTTGTCCAGGACATGCCACTCACAGGGTGGTAGCAGGTAAATGCAAAGATGGGGAAAATGTCAGTTGTAAAACGGCTAGATACACTCATGAGTTCTGTAGAAAGTGGCTCAGCTGTGTATGTCCTCGTCCTCAGCTCTGTTCCTTCGCATGCCTGGAGGACCCTGAGTCTCTGACACCATCAGTAATTCCTGAGTCGCCCTGTAGTGTCGAGACGGCCGTAGCCGAAGTGTGTGCCGCTTGCAAAGTTGCTGAGGTACCAGATAAGGAAGTTTTGCAATCGCTCACTAAGTTACACAATAATTTAGGCCATCCCTCCGACCGTGACCTTCTCAGGATTCTGAAAAATGCAGGTGCCAGCAACAAAGCCATCGCTCTGGCGGCAGATTTTGAGAAGCAGTGCACAGTATGCATGCAGCGCAAGCGACCCACACCGTGTTTGCCTGTTTCTCCTTCACAACATTTAGATTTCAATCATCGTATTGGTCTTGATGTCAAGTTGTTGCCGGGTTGGCAGACAAATCAGCGAGTGAAGTGTTTGAACATAGTTGACTATGCCTCCAATTACCAAGTCATGCTGCCTTTTTATGAAGTTGGAACAGCTGGTGTTTTGAGAAAACTTCTCCGAGAGGGTTGGCTCCGTTGGGCAGGTCCTCCAGTTGAGGTCGTGATGGACCCAGCCACCACCAACATGGCCGAAAGCATGATTTCTCCGTTGGAACAATCAGGGGTCAGGGTTTTGTCAATTGCCGCAGAGGCGCACAATCAGTTGGGTAAAGTTGAGACGCATGGACGGACATTTGTTCGAGGTGATCTTAGGTAAGGTGCTTGAGCAGGTTCAGCCCCAAAACAGAGAAGAGTTTGAAGCTTGTGTTTTACAGACCACCAATAGCAAGAATGAGCTCATCAGCGTCAAGGGTCTTAGCCCAAATCAACTGGTGTTTGGCCGAAATCCGCGTGTGCCGGAGGACCTGTTGCAAGACTGGCCATGCCCTGTGGCGGCGTCTTCACCGTTGCATGACGATGCTCATGCCCGTGCCAGAGAGATTAGATCGGCGGCACGTCTGGCGCTGGTCATGTCCCAGGATGACAAATCCCTGAGAACTGCACTCAACGCTCGCCCCAGAACCGAGCGGGAATTTCTGGCCGGGGATTTTGTTTGCTATTGGAGGACTCAAAAGTATCAAAGGGGCACTCGTTTGGTTGGGGGTAGATGGTTTGGGACCGCCTTAATCATGGGAAAAGTTGGTAGGAACTTTCTGGTATACCACCGTAAGAACATGTTCAAAGTGGCCCCCGAACATCTGCGTCATGCCTCTCAGGAAGAAAGATTGGCTGCTCAAACAGATGGCAGAGAGCTCCTGGGTATTGAATCCTTGGTGGAAAAAGGAAAAGAAATGTTAGGCAATCAGTTTGTTGATTTGACGGGACAAGATCAGCCGCCTAATGCACCGGCTTCGAACCAACCTCAGCCCGCAATTCAGCACACTGAAGATTATTGGATCCAACGGGGGCCGAATCTCCTGTGTGGGGTTCATGTGGAGCCTCGCACGTGCACGTTCATGCCCAGTCCAGCTGACCCAGTGGTTGGTAAGTTTCAGTTGGATGATTGGCGTTTGACACATGTCTCCCACAACTGCCAAATCTCACAAGATGAATGGATAGATTTTCCTTGGTCTCACACTGATGACAGAGAGAAGAAAGTTCAAGAGTCACCCTGGACTGGGGAAACCCGTTTTTGGATCCTGCCGCAGGACAAGCTGGTGTCATCAGCAAAAGAGCCTGCCACAGTTTCTGTGCCATCTGTCTCCGTCACGGAGAATCCAAGGGATGCGTCCGGTGATGTTGACTCTGAGAGCCCACCAATGAGCAACAACACTTCCAGTCCGTATTCCGGGGGTACAAATCCTGATAACAAAGCTTCACAACTGAAAGAATATGGTCCCGTAAGACTTAGAAATTGGAGTAAGGGCCCCAGCCATTTCTTGTTTCGACCAGTTCAAACCCAGCCAGAGGATCTCCGAGATGTGGTGCAGGAAATGGCAGAGGAGCGCAGCTCTGCTGAAAAACGTGCTCAGTCCAGAGAACCTAGCACGGGACCTCCGGCCAAGAGCTCCCGAATCGAGAGCCCGGAGGACCAATGCCTCTTAGCTGAATGTGCGAGTCAGGACCCAAGCATGAGTTTTGACGTATTTCTTGCAACGTTTCTGAAGAAGAAAATGCAGAAAGAACTTCACCACTCCAACAATCCTTCCGAGCTGCAGGGTTTGATTGATGATTCCAAGAGAGTAGAATGGGAAACCCTTCAAAGTGAAAAACAGGCCATACACGTGATTCCTCCACACGAAGCCGTTTTGATTCGCAAGCACAAACCTGATAGGATCATGTCAAGTCGTTTTGTGATCACAGGAAAACAGGAAGACCAGACCACAAGGGTCAAATCCAGGTGGTGTTTGAGGGGCCATCACGATCCTGATCTTACTCAGAAGATTTTAGCTGGGAAATGTCACTCACCCACGTTGTCACAACTCAGCAGAAGCCTCATTTTGCAGCTGATTGTGAGTAACAAATGGATCTTGGGCCTTGGCGACATCAAGGGTGCCTTTTTGGAGGCAAACGTGCTGGAACAAGCTTTGCAGAACCCAGTTTATGCAGAGCTCCCCCCGGGGGGCGTGCCGGGAGTCAAACCGGGCAGCCTAGTCCAGATACTTGGAAACGTGTATGGAGCAAACGATGCCCCAGCAAACTGGTATCATGAGTTTGACAAGGTTGCAACTTCTGTTGGCTTCACCAAAAGCAAGTTGGATTCCTGTTTGTATCTTTGCTTCAACTCCGAGGGACAGCTGCAGGGGGTTCTTGGTGCTCATGTGGATGATACAATTACGGGCGGGGAGGGAGAAGCTTACCTGTCCGCAATTGCCCAGCTGAAAGCCAGGTTTCCCTTCCGAAAATGGCGCACGGGCTCTGGAGAATTTTTGGGAACACAGCACTGCCAAGACCCGAAAACCTTCGAAATCACATATCAACAACAAGACTATGCCGAGAGCATTCGACCCATCAGTATCTCTAAGGAAAGGGCTCGTAAGTATTGGCTCCCAGCCAGTGACAAGGAGGTGGCAGCCCTTAGAGCTGTCAATGGCGCTCTAGGCTGGCTGAGTTCTCAGTCACGTCCTGACTTAGCTGTGCAAACTTCTCTCTCCCAACAGAGTTTTCCAGTGCCCACAATCCAAGACCTTTTGCAAGCCAATCAGGCAGTGAGGCGGGCTCGACAGCAGTCCGATCTGAGGATTACAGTTCCATATATCCCCATACAGGATCTGACAGTGGTTTTCTGGTCTGATGCGGCTTTTGCAAATACTTTGAGCATGAAAACACAAGGTGGTTGGCTGTTAGCATTCACTTCCAAAGCCTTTTCTCAGGGTTGTGATGTTCCGATTCACTGCATTGGCTGGAAATCGTACAGACTCCCACGAGTTGTTTCATCAACTTTGAGTGGAGAAGCCCAGAGTTTTTCTGTTGCCTCAGGAATAGCCGAATGGATGCTCTTGGTCCTGTCGGAGGCCATCGATGGTCCCTTCAGCTTAGCCGATGTTGATCAGGTGCTGAAGCGCAGGAGTCCGATTGGGGTAAGTGATTGTAGATCCTTATATGATCATTTGAATTCCTTGGGTAATGGGGGTACTTTAGATGATAAGAGGACAGCCATAGACATTGCCATAATCCGTCAGTCGATTCAGCGATGCGGTTTAGAGCCTAGATGGCGTCCCACCGACCGAATGGTTGCAGATGCCTTTACCAAAGACAAGGGAGAACCCCTGGACCTTCTGCGATCAGTCATCCGCCAGTATCATTATCAGCTAGCCGACGAGCAGGTCGTTTTGGACCGGAAGCAGCAGGAAAAACAGAGACGCCAGTTAAAAGCCAAAGAACGTTCAGTTGAAAACCAAAGACCCACCGTAGTCAAACCTGACAGTGAGTAATGAGGGAGCTTAGTCGTCTCGGACTGACTAACGTCCTTTTTCAGTTTTGGTTGCTGTGTACGAAGTTACATCAGTTTGAGTGTGAAGCCTGTTTTTGTCAAAGCCACCATGCCAATCTCCTCTTGTGCAGTGTTCAGAAAGATATTTCTTCGCCTTTTTCCTTTTGCAAGCCTGTGTGAAACGCAGCAATACCAAAAGCAGTCTTTCGGTGATGCGTTTTTGTCAAGCCCGCACCGTGTGAGTTGCCAGCCGAAGATAGTCACCTGACCTTTATTCCTGTCTGTTTTCTTGCCATGTCTCAGGACGCAGTGTCCGCTGAGGAGTTCCGGGCCCTGAAGGCCACCATGGATCGTTTAAGGAAGTATGGTTTACAGATTGTGGCGTCTGAAGCTGCCGGAGCAGAGATGCCAGGAGCTATGGCAGATTCTAGCAAGCGCCTGCGCGATGACTCCATTGCCTCCTTTGACATGGCCTTTGACGATGAGCCTTGGGATTTGCCTTGCGGCGGAATGCTCACCGGGTCTTCTGCAATTAGTGGCCAGCAGGTCATTTCTCCCAAGGTGCTGAGTTCTCAGACAGTCGAGTTGCCGCCGGGTGTTTCTTCGATCAAGGAGTGGGGCAAGACTTTGTGTGAGCTGCCGGCTGTAGCGCGTCAGAAGTTACCTTATGAGGCCTTGGCCCAAGATGAGTCTCAAACAGACTCTTTGCTGTGGATTTTGAAACAAGGGGCATCAAAGGGCCCGCGTGTAGCCGATCTGGCCAATTATTTGCAGGCCACTAAGTTCACTGAAAAGTGCAATGGTCAATCCATTGGACCGCCCTATCCTGGTTCCAATGTGGTGCGTAAGTTTGCAAGCTGAAAGACAGCTTCTTCTTTCAAATGGTGATGGGCTTTCTCCCAGCGTTTTTGTTTTGTTTTGTTTGGTCCTGTGTGTTTTTGTTGGTGTGTGTTTTTGTTCTTTCTTTGTTGTTTTTCATATTACTGGGAGTTTAAAAGCAGCACCCATTTTCTCCACCTGACTGGGGTCAGTGGGCCTTGCGTTTCCTTCAGGTGCGGCGTTCGGCGAAGACACTCATGGCTCAGGCGAGACAAAGGAGCAGTCTTAACGGTGTTTGGATCTAGGCGAGATCCGTGGGCCTGGGCATTTTAATATATATATATAGATAGATAGATAGATAAAGAGGCAAATTCAATGATACTGATTCCCCTCTGTGGCTATCATTGCCCATGGGGTGGAGCAAACCTAGTAAATTGATGGTGCTCGTAGCAAATGGAATATATAAATATATATATAAACGGAATTATTCGCGGCCAATGGTGATTTCTTGAGCTTAACTCCCTGCATTTGTATTGTATGGTTGCAAAAGAATATCTGGCCCCTAAAACAGCACGATAACATAAATAGGATCTGGAATTTCTGTAGTGTGGTCCGTGGTGCGGAGTTGGAATCCTAATTCCAACAGCCGGAGTTGGAATCCTCAATCTTGGAGCAAAATGGCTTGGTTTCCAACATCAACGTGGGATCCAAAATTAACCATCCCCACCAACAAACCATTTGGCGGTAAATCATCCTGTTTGTAGGGAATAATCTGCAAATTGGGGATGGTTTATTGTTGTTGTCACAGTATCCTGGTTCGCAATTGCCAGGAAAATGTCCTGCTGATCAACTTCGAATTGGCCTTGTTGATCTATGAAGTTTTCAGGGTCTTCCCTTGACGAATACTACAAATGTTAAGGCCATTTGCCGCCCTGGGAGTCCTTCACTTGCCGCCCCTGGACAAGTAATCAATCGATGAAACCGCCACAATGCCATTGATTGAATCCTAGAGTGTAGAGCACCTATGGAATATGAATGAACATCCATTTACAGACGATTCTTAGTGTTCACCTTGAGATTCCATGGCTTTTGACACATCTTACCAATGACCCGTCCAGTTTGCACCTGGACTAAGCGAGATGAAATGGCAAGTAACCAGACTATAAATCCTGTAATGACACTGCTGCAATGTACAGCAAATATATATATATAACATTATATAAAATATAATGTTATATATATAATATTGATTAATTATATATAAAATATTAAATAATTATATATAATATTAGATAATTATATATGTAATATTATATATAATAGTATGTATCACACTCCACACTTCCCACATCACACTCCATAATGTTATGTATATAATGTTGTATATATAATGTTATATGTGTAATGTTATATATATAATGCTACATATATATATAATGTTATATATGATGTTATATATAATGTTATATATAATGTTATATATAATGTTATATATACATATATAACTTATATAATAGGACCTAGGATATTCTGAAATATTCTGTATAATACGTGTATATATATATGTGTGTGTGCACACTGTGTGTGTATAGCCAATATCACATAATTACTGGAATCTACCATGAATATAGAATCTCTTACAATATACAATTCAATAGTAATGTGTTCTATATCATCTGATATTCATACTCATTACTCATCTATATACCAGTTCTGGCTGGTGGTTTCAACCCTGAAAAACAATCGTGGGATCATCCTCAAATCCCCAAGAGTTGTTCAAGGCCACGAAAAATGGATGGCTTTTCCCAATGGTTTTCCTATGGTCTTCACAATTGATGGGGCTGGGTCGGAAATGTCCATTGGAAATGACCCAAATCTCCGAATTCCCATGTCGAGTTGGTCAATCTCTCGTGAAGAACTATGCGTTTGCTGGTGATGTCCTTGTGAGTTTGTTGATAAAAAACATATAAAAACCATTCACAGACATTTAAAGGTACCCCCAATCACATCACCATCAACAAACCCTTATGAAAGTGGCTTGGCAAGTAAGCCGCCAAATGTCGGAGGGTAGCTGTGTAGGGTGCAGTCTTCCATGTTATCCTGGGTCCATGTTCAACCCCAAACCAATTGTTTTCACATCTTTAGTTTCTATTCATGTTTGGAAACAACCGATTTTTGTGTTCCCAGTTCCTTGGTTCAAGGCGGTCCACCTTGAACAAAATCCAAATATAACCAGTCAAAATGATGATCTTTAAACGTTGCTTAACAAGCCAGGCAACATGTTCCTCTAGGAACCCCAAAAGAAACCTTGGACTTCCACTGCTCTCCTTCTCCTGCGACTTGACTGTTTTCCTCGAAGGTCACCCTTTTCTTTTCGGGCTTCTCGGTCTCGGAACCTGTGAGACGAGACCCGTTCTTGTTGGGAAATTGCACTGATGGTGGTGTGTAGCACCCCCCCCTGGTCCATGATTGTAGCAGCCAAAAATGGTAACTACTACGGTAATCAATGGTATTCCCAGGTGGTTTTCGTTTTCAATTTGAGAACCCAGATGGGTGGCATGGGACCTGGGTTCTTGGATGGTGTTCCTACCTTGAAAAACTCATTTAAAATCAAAACCCGTGGATGTCAGAACCGTCACAAGGTATGGAAAGTAAAAGAAATTCGCATTAGTTTGATCAACAAATTAAAAAAGTAGAAACAAGCTATGCAATTAGCCCTGCGAAATTTGATTTTGTTTTTTCTCTAGCTTGTGCTCAAATTCCCTCAGCTGTCTTCGCTTTCGATATCTGTTGATACGAACTAATACCAACAGGAGGTATCACTTTGCCACATTTGGTAACCCTAGGTTAAGTCTCCTTTTTTGTCGATTGGATTTTTGGCTCTGCAGAAATATATGTATGTTTTTCTACTAAGTCTCTAAGGAAAATTCTTATTGGAAAGTAGCAAACTGCATGCGGATTTGATGTTTAGAACAATGGAATGTTTACAGTCACAGGAAAAAAATACGCGTGTCAAATGTAATGTAATTTAATGTAATGTAACTTAATGCAATGTAATGGACTTGAATGTAATGCAATTGAATATAATGTGCTGCCATGAATATGTGCATGGCCTATATAATTGGATAGTTCCATTCCCAAAAACAAATACCATGAAATACCCCCCTTTGGGGGGACCAAAACCGTTCAGTGAAAATCCTGCAAGATTGGTGTATTGGGGTATCTGTACTGTGTCGCAAAAACCACACAATTAAAACAAGTACTGCAGTTGAGATCTCCAAATCGAGGTTACCACTTCAAATCCTGAGTTGTGACCTTACAAAAACCATCAAACACCAAGAAAGTCTTGCCGTTCTGTTTCCGGATGTTCCATTTCAACTTCAACCCCATCCCGTGTTTCACGACACCCTGTGCTGCCAAAGGGACTGCAAGTACTAATCCTTGGATACGGGCGCTTCCAGGCTCGTCCCGGCGAAGGTCAACCAGAGTTCGTGTCATAGACGGTCACAAAAAAAGGATTAGCAGTGTTTATGATGGTTTATGGTCATCCATCCCATGAAAAAATATGAAAAATGGGAATGCTTATAAGATCTTATAAGTGGTAAATCCCTCTGAAAAAATTCTGAAAATGGATCATTGACTGATGACCATTCAATATGGGTCAATCCAATCCAACTTTTGACCATGACACATCTGGGCATTTTTACCAGACTTGCCACTTGCCAAAACAGGAGGATCCTCCAAAATGTTGTGGGCTACAAGACTATAATACAAAACACTCAGATTGCAGGGATGTCAGCCATCTGAAATGTTCGGAACCTTCTAAGGAAGGGTAGGGTACACCTGTCAATCAATGGCCCTGATACAAACAGTCCAAAAACTCAGAGGAACTTGTTCAATTGTCAATTTATGGCTACGAATTGGGCTACCAACCCTCAAGATTCATCGTTTTGCATATTTAACTACCCACTTTTGGGGGGGCATAGAATAGTTTTAGCATTTTGCGCACAGCATATCAATGAGCCATTCCCATCCTCTTCAACAAGCGTCGATGCAGGTGATGGTGGACATACGGAAGGTTTCTGCTCCTTTTTGAGGATACCTTTGAGCACCTTCGGCATTGGCATTGGCTTCTTCACAGCCATTGGCTGCTGTGGCTCGCTCGCGGAGCACCCCATGGCGTCAAAGCAACGCAAGTCAGGCGACTGGGGTCGTCGGGTCAAGCAAAATGCTGATTGGAATGCATTAGACATCAACACTCAGGTAATACATAGGTTATATGTGTACGGCGTGTACGGTATACGACGTATGTGATCATGTGTGCATATCGATGGTTGGGTGTATGTGTGAATGATGTATCTGAATACGTATCTACATATCATGTATATACTGTAAGTGTAAGTGTGTAGGTGCTGATGCTTTGCAAAAGACATCAGACCAATCGGTGGAAGCCAGGTAAAAAATAAAATTAAAATAAACAGGATAGTCACACGTATACAACATATGTAAATTATATATATGCAATGTGAATATCATATAAACCAAGGTCCAGTCCACATCTGCTCAAACAGACTCACCACTCACCAGATTTCACGCGCAACGCCAGGCTGCCATTGTTCAAGGTCTCCGTGTTTTGGTTATTCAACGGATTGGTTCAAGGGAAACTTCACGAGAAACTATAGCCTTCAAACTTCAAACATTCTTGTTTTTTGTCCCTTCAACCAATTGTAGTGGTGCTAGTACTATAAAGACCGAATTGGTTTCATCAGGAGAGTACCGAGTCAGTAGGTAGATAAGTTGTATGGATGCATGTGTGTATGCATACCAAAGTAGGAATGCGTGCTGTCAACACTGTACATTTCATACATGTAATGCGTTTCATAACATATATATATACATATATACATAATATTATAATATACCAATATATATATATATATGCATGTGTGTCTATTCTGGCAACCACAGATGTTGACTACAATAATTTCAACGAATTCCAGTTTTTTAGCCCTTTGTCGTGGCGACGAACGCCCGCCTGGAAACAGGTGTGGTTTCCCTTCCGTCGATGTTCCAATCCTGCCGCAGCACATACCCTGCACCCATGTGCGACGCCAAATCTAGGATTCTGAACTGTTCGTTTCCATCCATTTTCACCATAATCTGAAAATCCCAAAGTAAAATTTTGTAAAATTTCTCAAACAAAGATCCATCCAGTACCCGTGGATTGGCTTAGCCCTGTTGCTGACCTACAATGCCTGCTTCATGCTTCATGATGGTACATGACCCGTTTTTCATCAACCAATTCAAGTTACAGTATGCATTCACATAGAAATATATATAATCCATCAATCTACTACACTAAGAAATTGGAAATTATCATGAGCTGTAAAAATTATTCCGAACTACCCACAACAAATATGAAAATAAGTGACCTTTGATGATCTGCTAGGGCTGCTAGGGTCATGGAGGATCATCCCACGGAGCGTGGTGAAAACATGTGAACAATCACCAGCCGTCGCCCATGGAAGTTTATACATACATGTATTATATATACAGTATATATATATATACATACACATTGATTGATTGATTGATTGATTGATTAATTGATTGATTAATTAATTAATTAATTAATTGCATATATATATAATGTATATGGGATAAGCCACTTGGGGGACTTACGACCACCAGGACCACTTTATGAAGTGGGATAATCCTCCAAGTATATTCAGAACAGCTAGTCGCTGAGCCACCCATCCCATGTTTCCGAAACCCATGCTGAGCCACGCCATTAAGATCTTTGAAATCACCCATGTACAAAATTTCAGTGGATTTTCACCGTTTTCATCCAGCTTCACTGTTAAAAATGGCGAATGAATTGAGGGTTTTTTGGGCGGTGTACCCCGTTTTACACCCCACGCCTGTGAAGTAGGCATCCAACAATCGGTTAAATCCACTGGCTCCATCACACCTGCGGATGCGGCGAGGTAAATCATCAACAGGCCATCTAAACCATAGCTAAACGAGTACCAGGGTGTACCCTCTGGTAAACATACAAAAAGCTATTGAAAATGGTGATAGAAATAGTGGATTTACCAATCAAAAATGGTGGATCTTTCCAGTTCGCTATGTTAGTTTACCAGAGGCTAATCAAATTTAGTAAAAGTAGGCCACCAGTTGTTGATCGCTCACCGTTCGCCCATCCAAGTGCTTCATCGCAACGGAGTCTCCGCAAGCAAAACCATCTCTATACATATGGTGTCAATGTCGTTCATATAAAAATACAGTGGGTGCATACAAAATCATACAAATATGTAGAAAAATGCATCTTAGGTCCTAGACTGTCCTAGACTTTCATGTGAAATCATTGTGCACCACGGACGTCCATGTAAAGACATCTGACATGTACATGGTATACATATATATATAAGATGCGTAGAGGACCTAGAAAATGTGGAAACATCCCCCTAACTACTTTAACGGCAGGTTGCTTTTCCATCTTCTTGTGCTTACTATACATCGATCCAGCAACATTTGTTAATATCAAACACATGTTGAATTTAACAACTTGAACTTATTGTTGTCACATTGTGTTTTAGTATCCAGTGTTTTAAACTATATATACATCTATAGTCTATAGTATATTAAACTTCCAATGGAAACTATGGAGAGGAATTGTCAATATTTGACGGTCACCTATCCCCCAACACAGATGCAGAAGGTGAAACAAATACCATCATGTTCCAGGTTCTCCCAACACCCCAGATAAAAGGGTCGTAAGTTGGCTGAATATGGAGGCAAAAGCATCTACTTTCCACCCTTATGGCTATCACTAGGTTGAAGCAAACCTGTAAATTGAGATATCAAATAAAAGGATATCCAATGTGTACAAAAACCTTCAATACTGATATGATTTAATTTAATCATATATAATTATATATATATGTATAGTATACATCATATCCTATCAGTCGTGGTGTGTCCTGATCAAATGTACCCAGATCATTAGAATTAATAACTGAATACTTAGGTATGATTTCGGTTTAAATGTACATTTTTGACTACCATCATTTCAGCACCATGTCACTTTTCACCCTCTGGTCTGGTAATCAAAGATGGGTATATAGCTGGAAAATCCCTGAACTAAATGGTCATTTGAATGGGAAAATCTTCGAGACTAAATGAGGGGATTGTCCAGCAAGCCATGTTTGATTGCTAGCGGGTTATAAAAAGGCCACAGTTGCTGCTGAGCCTGCTGACCCTTAGATGTTAGCCCATGATTACCATCATTTTAGATCATTTTAGATGGTTCATGTCCCCATGTTTGTTGGTGAAATGATCATTTCATGGTTACTACTAGTTATTACTTTTTACCATCATTTTACTAGGGATCATCATCCCAAAATTGCTGCAACATGAAAAAACATAAACATGATTTCAAATCACCAACCTGTTGCTACAGATACTACCATCAGTTTCTGGTTGGTGGTTTCAACCCATCTGAAAAATATTATATAGTCAGTTGGGCTTATTATTCCCAATATATGGAAAATACAAAATGTTCCAAACCACCAATCAGGTTTTGTAGGATGTCACTTCACTTTACCTTTCCCGGGGGTTGCCATAAAACTCCAGCGCGACCACTGGGATCCACTGGGTACTGCTGCTTCATGGCCGTCAGGTGCTGGTCCAGAGCCTGAAAAACCAGGGGAAATCACCGGTTTTAAAGCGCTGATTTAAGGGAACCCTGCAAAAATGATGATTTAACTGACGAACTGGTTTGAACTGGGAAAAAAGGAATGATTTACTGTACCTGATTTAGCCGCAAAATGTTGGATTTCACTGATTCCTTCTTCAACAAATTGTGATTTGACAATTGGCGATTTCACCTGCAAAAAGTGTCTTTCACTTTTACTCAATTGGTATTTTGGTTTTCTGTGACTTGGCAAAAATGGGGAGTTGACCATGCCAGAATTCTGCAAGGACTCGAGACTCGAGATACGACCAACATAGTTGAGGATAGACACAGCAAACGTATCGGACACAACCAACAGTGAGAAATATAGAAATTTGACCATGCTATGGCCCATGGACGATAGCCCCTGTCACTGTCTGAAGCTTTGGAGGATGGCCAGACGATGGTAGCTCCAAGTGATCCAAGTCACTGAGAAAACTGCAATTTTTGTACTGCAGACCAGTGACCACAAAGGGGGGCTGGGTCGTCTCCCTCATAGCCACCTGGAGAAAAACCATGTCTGAGCTATTTGGTTAGTGAGCTTAAGCCACATGATTCTCCTCAAAAATGTGCGTCGAATCGGATCCGGATCATCCCAGTTAGGACTTGGAAAATGAAAAGAGCTCTGAAACCACGAGTCAGTATATCCAGTCTTAGGGGATGTCGATTCTGAAATGATTATTACACACAGAAAATTGTGCCAACCTTATCCTCAAAACGACCATACTAGGAGCTCGTTGAAGAAGTCTGACATGGGAAAAGCCTACTTTAGAGTGTCACTGCTTTAGAGCTATCCGGTGTAGGTCAACATAGAACATGCAGGATTTCTGCATTGGTCAAAATCCAACTGCACGTCACAAGGAACCATCGATTCTCCAAGCATCATGGGAACAGACTGTATGTTATATCATACATAGTAGTGTTCAATAGTGTTCATATATTTATATACAATGTATATATGATATGTATATACCAGTACAGTACATATCATTCAATTGATGCGGCACATCTTGCAAAAGACATTAGTAAATAACATGGATCCCACTGCCGCACGCGAGGAGCGCTGGCTGAGAGCAAATCGCAAACGGCATCCTGGGGGGGGTCACTGCAGTTGTAGAAAACACCCAACACTACGGCACTGGTCCAAGAATTAAAACTCATCACAGAAATATAATATATAAATGTTATGATATATCATGCTTGTATGATGAGCATATAAATGTATTTGACTATCCTTGTGAGGGTTTGTTCATGTATTGGAATGTATTCTTGCCGATTAGCCTTCCTAAACAGAGACTGTTCACTGGTAAGATGTGTGTTTTCCAATGTATGTATATACTGGTTGCTGGTTTCAACCCCTCTGAAAAATATTAGTCAGTTGGGATGATTGTTCCCAATATATATATATAATATATATATATAATAATATATATATATGGAAAAATAAAAAATGTTCCAAACCACCAACCAGTATATGTTCAGACAAAGGCTGGCACAAGCTTCAAGGTGTTTGACAACCTCCTGATTCAGTAGACGGTGACCCCCAATGGATGGCGCCACTGATCAAAATCGGCGAGACACTCCAAACCTTTGTGGATATGGTCAAAACTATTACACGTCCACTACAAAACCTAACAAAACCTAACAAAACCTAACAAAACCCAGCATTTCTCAGCAGGGTTCTTCATATCTCCATTAAAATCCTAGCGATGGAAACTTGAAAACAGCCCATATTTCACCAGGGCATGGCTTTGCTTTCACGTCCTGTTGAAGCTCAAAGAATGAAGCCTCCACCTGGTGGCGTCGTGAATCGTTCGCAAGGCGAAAAGAACCAAACTTAGACAAATAATCCAGAACTGTCTGAAGAGTTGGTTCTGCATGATCCCCATAGCAAAAGATCAAAGTACCAAAATAGACATCAAAGCTGACGCAGAAATTCTTTGGGGAAGCGATGGCTTGATGGATTGATTGATGATCATGGAGCATGGGAAATCAGCTGATGCGCGTGGATCGAATTCCAAAACTTAGAAAAATGACTGAGCATCCGCATAATTATAGTTTTTCTACATTAGCTTTGAAATGTCTACTGAGCATCTCAATTTCATGATTTATGAATATTTATATATATATATTTATGATACATACCTCTGGGTTGGCAAGCATCAACCTGAAATGAATGGTGGTCGCGTCAGGTATTCAGGTCATCCTGCAGTGATTGGTGGTTTCAACGCACCAAAACTATTCATCAAATGGGATCATAATTCCAACTAGAATGGAACATGAATGATTGGAATGATTGAAACCACCAGATCATCATTGGTAGCTACCCATCATATATATCATATCCCCATGTGTACGGTTAAACTTACTAATGTTGCTTAAATCATTACCCATCATGTCATGGTGATATTAATTTCCTCTGAGATGGCCCATATTCGATGCTTTTCCCAATGGCTAGTTCGGGGATTTGCCGGCCCACAATGTTCGATTGGCACAGGGTGGGGCCCCCTAGTTACCTATAAGTGTGGTTTATATTTTTTCGCAACTTAACTGGGAATTGTGGCAGCTGTATCGATATTTAATGGCGTTATAAACCAACAAAGATAACTGGGGGGACCCAGCTTGCAGAGTGTAACCCCATTTTCTTCACTTCTTTGGCCACCCTGACCCAATGCCAGGCCCCCAACGGCTGGGACGCTCCCAGTCATGCGCTCAATCTCCTGAAAGTGTGCAGAGTGTGGTGACTGGGGGGAGCTGAGCTCCTCAAAATCTCCGAGATGGATCTGGATTTTTATGGATGTTCACCTTCAAAGCCTCCAAGCATCTTCAAAACACACAACTTTATGCACTTTTTGCCATTGGAATGCTCTCAAATGCTCCCAAGTACTCCCACAATACCAATGGCTACGTGATCAACTCGAAAATCAACATTCGGAACATGAAGTATGATGAATTCAGGTGGATACAAACATGAAATCTTGAGAAGTCCTTCAAAAATGTTTAGATTCAAAAAAAATATGTGGCGATCCCAGAAAATACATCTTTCAACTATCTTTTGGAGATGATATCCAATTTTGGGTGGGCTGATGTTAAATTAGGACAATACCAACCCAAGGGTGCCCTTTTAGTATCCATGCCTCCGTGATCACTTGGATGGCACGTGGAGCGATACCGTGCGTCTCGCCAGATCTCGGAAATCGAGGAAGCAGCCGGACAGGACCCCTGAAATGAACAGATTCAAAACATGGACAAAGCCTGAGTTTCTGGTGTCCAATTTGGAAAAAAAAACATAGTTGTCTGATTGGTCTTCCCATCATCAGCCTCAAAATCAGTGGTAGCGAAGTGGGAAAATCCAGCTGGTTGGCAGGAAAATCTCCAGCCATGGAGGTTTCTAGCAGGGAAAATCATCAACTGGTGGATTTGTTCATTGCCAGGTTCCTGCAGGGCATGTGTTTACCGCAGAACGCGAACGATTACTATAACGATTCAACTGCGCATGTGTTCCACGTGTTCTTTATCTCCTGTTTATTGTTGAGTTTTTTTCCCAGGTGTTTTTGTTTACCTGGGTTTGTCTTTCGAATCAGTATCTCGTGTTTTTCCTTTGATGTGTTGCTGTGGTTGGATGCGTTTCTTGTTGCTATGTTCTTACCTTTTTGACTATTGCTCGGTTTTGGGCTGCTGCGAATGACATCTATTTCTATGAACATGGGCCCCTGGACTGGCAGTTGCACTCCAGTAAACTACTGTAAGAGTTTGCTACAGGATCGGGCCCCCAATAGCTAAGTTGACATATAAGTGGCTGAATTCTATGGTCTATGGTAGATATTGGTAGATATAACGAGCTAGTTAACGGGATTTATAATCCAACTTACAACTAGGGGGCACCATCCTGTATGGAAACTGGCCAGTTTGGTTCGAGGATGTACCTACTAAAAATGGTGGCTTTCGAAAGCTATGTACACCATTACCAGAGGGTATGTTTGTTGGTTGACAACCCTAACTAGTTCGATACATCCGCGGTACATGCAACAGTTGGCCTAGTGAAACAAAGACATAAAGCCACTCACATCCCATTACTCACCTACAAATCCCACATCTCTTGGTATTGAAATGTATTTCACTGATGTTTCACGAAATCCCAATGTTCCTCTCTGCCAACCCCTTGACCCCTGCGGCCCGGCGTAAAGAGTCCGGAGAGAGCAAAGGACTTCCCACTTTGGGGACCTTTTTGCCGTTCCATCGGTGACCGGACGGTCGGGGACGGTGGTTTTTGGTAAAAAAAATAGGGATCTCATCAGCAAACAATGGAATCTTGGTAATATTACCCTCTGGTAATTTTAAGGAATATTCAATGAATATTCAATATCATGGGGGAATCATCGAGAAATAATGGAATTATATATATAATATTACCCTGTGGCAACTTGTTACAGTTAACAGGAAGCCATGGACAATAGAAAGTTCCACGGTTTACCGGTTTGAAAAATGGTGATGCTCCATAGCTATCTTACCAGAGAGTATATCTCACCGTGAAATATCCAGAAATGATTGTTGAGGATGATTCAAGCAGCAACAATGGTGAGAAAAACACATGACGAAACTCCACAAAGTGTACAAGACGCAGATGCATTGCATGTGTCAGTGCCAAGCTTGGTGCTTCTATCTCGGGGCCGTTTGGAAGATGAGTCGAAGCCGAAGCCATGAAAACATATGTACAAAGAAATAATGAGATCTGGCTGGAAAATATTCCTCAATGGGTGATAGCCAATTTCCATATTTAACAAGGTGATGCAAGAAACACAAAGCAGATGGGGATATCTGAGTCTTCAGGGACCGGCAAGGATATGATTGACTCAACTGGCAGTAACGGCTCAGAAACGGCTATTACAACCGTCCTCAAGTGTCTAAAATGAAGACTTAGAATCCTATAAAATGGAGGAAAACAAATAAAGTGGCTAAAACAATGTCATAAACCACCCATTTGGGAATGGTAAACATACCACCTATAAAAATGGTGATTTGGGTGATGGTTTATTGTAAATTTTACCCACATTACAAGAATTGCTAGGAATCCAAACTGCCCTTAAAACGCACCAGTTTGAGCGCTGATGTTAGCCCTGCCTCCATGTGCCAACACCGTACATGAGGCACCACCTGCAGCGTGCTGGGACGAATTTCTTGGAAGAAAACACGTTCATGGCAACCATCAATCCGTACTTTGAAACACACACTAAGTTGAACCAAGTTTAACTAAGTTGAAGCAATTTCGAATCACTACCAAGTTCAACAAATGTCGCGGAGGTTAACCAACCTGCTAGATGTGGCTATCAAATGTTCCCAAATCAAATATCCATTAAAAAATGAGCACCGGCACCCGAGCTACCCTTCGGCAACACCAAGGCTGCAAGCATCGAATCTTCACTCGTTCACTCGGATTGGGAAAATCTGGAGGAAAACCATGGTTTCAATTGGTGCTTCCCAAAACAAAGCCACGAAACCAAGAAACCAGTTGAAGGGACCGAAAAAGTAGCTGGTTTGAAGTTTGAAACCCTGGAAAACCATGGGTGTTCCAGCCAAATATGAAGGATTCCCGATGATTCCAAGCAGCACCTAGACACGCCAGAAGAGCAGGTTGAAGCTGAGCGAAAAGCTCCTGGACGCTGGGTGCCAAGGTGGTCGTACCAAATACGCGCCAACATTAGACCGACAGAATCCTAATGACTCATTTTATCCCAGGGAGTTGTGAATGATCAAAACTATGGTAAAGTGAGCCATTTGACTTTCAGGGAAATCAATGGAAATCATACGTACTAGCCTTGTGGGTCTCAGTCCGTAGCCAATGAATTGGTGCCCTCTGGCAGTTTCACCCTGGCTTGCGGACAAATTCTTAGCTTCCATAGATCAAATCATCTACAGATATCTACAGTACTTTCATGGGCAATTTTCCAGCAAGGTTTGACCACCAGTATCATCACATATAAAGCCGGAGCTCGATGGGGAAATCGGTACACAACCACCGTTTAGGTCCATTATAGGCTCCGTTGCGGTGATTGCTTTGTTTTGCGAATTTCAAAATCTCAGACCCCAGAAAGGACAACCTGTTGAATTCTGCTTGGATGTTGATCCCAGTAAGATAGTTAATCTGTTAATACAAGTAGCTGGAACATTTCAGATGATTCTTATCTATTTTTGGCCTGAAGATGCTCCTGCAAGTTAGGAAAATCTCAAAGTTTCAGGACAATCGGCCCCCATTTAAGCCCAAAAGAAACCAGTCACCTGTTGATTTCAATGGCTCGTTCCGTCCTGTTGATCCTCCCGAAAGACCTTGTCGAAGTGCAACGTCGTGGTGGTGGGTGCCCCAGAGGAGCCGGGGGAGGAGTGGTGTCCCGTGTCCAGAGCCACCTGCCGCGCAGTTGATGTAGCAACCCCCAGAAAGATACAGTCATTAAAAACCCACTGAAACAAAATGATGACATAACTTGACATAACCATACCCAGAAAATCCAATGACTCATGGTTTTCCGCCCTCGGCGAATGGCAGATCATTCGACTTTCAGGGATGGTAAGAAAATGTTGCGGGAATCCCATGTTCTCAATAGAAAATTCTTGGGAAACATATCTACACATCTGTAGGGTTAACTCCACCATGTCTAGCTGATCACAAGATGTTTAATAGAATGTGGGGTGTCCAAAGACAAAGCCACCTGGTGTACCCTCCAGTCATCTAACCTGGCAATGATTATCCTTTGTGATGTTCTATAATTGTTTGATCGTAATTTGATCATAAGAAGTAGTTTGGTTTTTCTCACCTGGCCCTTTTCTGTTGTCATGTTAGTCTACAGGGTGCCGTAGCGTCTCAACGTACAGGCATCATTGTGCGCCTCCACTTTTGCTTCGCGATCGTGCACCGTCACCTCAGCGAGGTTCAATCAGAGACCCCCAAATGTGGACTTCCCAAGGTTCTCCTTCTGGCTAAAATAGAAAGGCTATTTTGGTAAACATGGCAAGCTCGGAAATCCCTTAAAAATATATATATATAGTTTTTATATATATATATATATAGTTTTTAATGGAAAAATAATTTGCAAATGGTTGATTTTCCATTGCCTTGTTGATTTCCAGAGGGTGTACCATCATTCACCTATTGGTTGTCGAATGGGTCCAAAAAATCATCCAAACATTGGCCATGTCAAGATGGCAAAAACGAATTTCAGTCTGTAGTTACGTCGCGGTGCCGTGCAACCAGGGCTGCCAAACACTCCAAATACAAGGGGTGGGAAGTGTAAAAATAGGGAGGTAAAATGATCAATTTATGGCCCCTTGTGGCTATCATTCACCTACAATAGATTCGAACAACCCTGGCAACCATTACCCTCTGGGAATTAAACATAGCTATGGAAAATCACAAGTGTTGATAGATACATCATCTAGAAATAGGCCATCTTCCATCATTTTCCATAGCAAACTGTTAAATTACCAGAGGGGAAATGCTGGGAAGCCCAAAGACAACCCCTCCGCACTGCACCGTTGCCACCAAGCGGCCATTGGCGAAGGCTTCTCGCAGGGTCGCACGCGCAGAAGCAGCTGCGAGTGTTCTGCAGCCTCGCTGCCTGTCAGAATCTACGGTATCCGTCGTTTATTCACCATTTTTATTTAAGGACATAATGGTGATAGGCTCACGATTATTCATGCACTCCATCATTGCCGAGGTCTCTCTTGTGCTTGCAGGTGCTTGTTCCCTGATGGAACATCCAGCCGAACACCAGGATGAAGCACGCGCATCAGTATGGCGCACACAGTGCCATCGTGAGTGGGTCATGAAGCTCCCCGACGCATGGCAGCATCGGATAGAACAATGGCAATATGGAGCAGCCGGCGTTAAGCCTACAACGCTCCGAGCACTGAATATGGGCCCACCTCATATCGTGCATCAGGTGCTGCAAACCAATCGTGACCCGCTGGCGCTTCGTCCTTGCAATCCTCTTCGTGGACGGACTGCCGATGGCTCATTCCGAACGGCTGCGGCAAAAGAGTATCCAGTTGGTTTGTGTAGGACGTTAGTGCTTGCCACCTTGGAAAGTCTTAAATACAAGATCTCCCAGTTTGGCACGTGCACAGCTGCCGACCTCTCCGCTTCGGAGAGTGTCTGGCTGAATTCATTGTACATGAAAGCATGTAGCGCCAGTCTTTCAGGGAAATTTCTTCCGGATTTTCAAGGCTGAGCAGTTCGATGCAACATCGCACGAGCTAGACTCAGAAGCGAGTGAATGGAAACATAATGGTGAATATACAATGAATAAATAACCAAGAAATTACCAAGAATATATGTATCGTATATAGAGATGTGGGTGTGTCTGAAAATGTGCCCGACCCAGGGCAAAGTGTTAATTTTGTTTGTAACCCACATACCAGTAGTACCGCACAAGGCAGTGGCGGAAGGTTCAAAAACAGGAAACCTAGAGGACAGGTTGGTTGTTGTGAATCACGGATGGCAGAGCGAATCCGCTGATGGACCGAAAGGTGGTTGGAGTTGCGTTTTTTGGAGTGGTTGCTATGGTTGCAGTGGTCACCTGGCCGGTCACCTCACCCACAACTGCTGGATGTAGTGTGGTGTAGTGTACTGTAGTGTAGTGTACTGTCGTGTTGTGTGCTCTAGTGTAGTAGAGTGTAGTGTACCTGTAGTCTAGTGTAGTGTGTGTGTGTGAAGTAGTGTAGCTGTAGTTGTAGCGTAGTGTCGTGTAGTTGTAGTTGTAGCGTAGCGTAGTGTAGTGTAATTAGTGTAGTGTGTGTTGTGTAATGTAGTAGTAGCAGTAGCAGTAGCAGTAGCAGTAGCAGTAGCAGTAGCAGTAGTAATAGTAGTAGTAGTAGTAGCAGTAGCAGTAGTAATAGTAGTAGTAGTAGTAGTACTAGTACTAGTACTAGTACTAGTACTAGTACTAGTACTAGTACTAGTAGTTGTTGTTGTTGTTCTTGTTGTTGTTGTTGTTCTTGTTGTTGTTGTTGTTGTAGTTGTTGTTGTTGCTGTTGTTGTTGTTGTTGGTGGTGGTGTTGGTGTTGGTGTTGGTGTTGGTGTTGGTGTTGTTGTTGTCGTCGTTGTAGCTGTAGTAGTTGTTGTTGCAGTTGTAGTTCTAGTTCTAGTTCTAGTTGTTGTTGTTGTTGTCGTTGTTGTCGTTGTCGTTGTCGTTGTCGTTGTCGTTGTCGTTGTCGTTGTCGTTGTCGTTGTCGTTGTCGTTGTCGTTGTCGTTGTAGCTGTAGTAGTTGTTGTTGTAGTTGTAGTTCTAGTTCTTGTTGTTGTTGTTGTTGTTGGTGTTGGTGTTGTTGGTGTTGGTGTTGGTGTTGGTGTTGGTGTTGGTGTTGGTGTTGGTGTTGTTGTTGTCGTTGTAGCTGTAGTAGTTGTTGTTGTAGTTGTAGTTCTAGTTCTTGTTGTTGTTGTTGTCGTCGTTGTAGCTGTAGTAGTTGTTGTTGTTGTAGTCGTAGTCGTCGTCGTCGTCGTAGTTGCAGCAGCAGCAGCAGGAGGAGGAGGAGTAGTAGTAGTTGTTGTTGTTGTTGTTGTTGTTGCTGTTGTTGTTGTACTAGTTGTAGTTGTAGTTGTAGTTGTCGTTGTCGTTGTCGTTGTCGTTGTAGCTGCAGTTGTAGTTCTAATGTAGTGTGCTGTAATTAGCATAGTGTAGCGTAATGTAGTTGCAGGCGTAGTTGTAATTGTAGTTGTAGTGTGGTGGTAGTGGTAGTTGTAGTTGTAGTTGTCTATCTATCTATCTGCAAGCTTGAAAACGAAGCTATTCTGCGAGACGAGACTTCCTCAGCTTTTGAACTTGACAACATCAAAAATGCAGCAATTCTGCGAGACTTCCTCAATTTTTGAACTTGCCAACGTCAAAAACGAAACAATTCTGCGAGACTTCCTCAATTTCTGAAGTTCGCAACATCAAAAACGAAGCAATTCTGCGAGACTTCCTTTAAAAATGGAAAGTTGAGTGCGGAGCTGACGGCCTCGTACCAATGCGTTTTGCGATTTTTCTACTCCACCTGTCTAAAGTACTGCGCCTGCCACGAAAAAGTGATGCCAGGTCATACGAAGTGCTGCACCTGTCGCGCAAAATCATCTTAGCAAACCTACAGATCTGATGCTCCAAAATGCAACCCCTCTCAATAAATCAGCGCCCTCACCTCCTAACATCTCTGATGACCATGTCTCTTGCACTGCGCCTGCCACGCGAAATCCATCTGTCCAGATCCTCTTCAAATGTCCCACGCCTGCCATCGTTTTTGAAACTGCTACAAAACCCTCACGTTTTGCTCACTTTTGACACGGTGCACAATCCCTTGCGCCTGCCACGCGAAACGACATCAGAACGTCAAAAAGTGGTCCGAACATGTGGCGCATTTCAGATTTTGACTTGGAAATGTGCTTCGCGCCACAACGGCGTGCACTTTTTCGACACCTCAACTTCCAAAAGTGCTCCGACGTTGGTGTGTTTTGTACGTTTTGACTTGGGAATGTGCTTCGGGCCACAACGGCGTGCACTTTTTCGACATCCCAGGTGTTTTTCGCTTTTTCACTTGCAAATGTGCTGCGCGCCACAGCTGCGTGCAACTTTTCATCTCTCATCTGACCACAGGGCTCCGCACCCGCCGCTTTAGCGAGCCTACTTTTCGACCCTCTGGAGCCACAAATCATTGGAAAAGAACACAGTGTTTCGCGACTTTGCTACCTTTTCGCGCACCTGCATCTTCTTTCCTCTGACTCTTTCTCTTCTCTGACCTTCTCTCTTCTGCTCTTCTCTTCTCTGACTCTTCCCACCTCTGCTTTTTCGTCTGTCCATACTGTCGTAAGTTTGACTTCTAAACTTCCTTGGATAACTCATCATAACTCATCATTATTGCAATATTGCAACATCTCATAACCATGTGGGTGAATCCCCCATCATGTTTCGACAAAGCCATTGGATGTACCGATTTCCATCACACCGGCAAGGTCCACAACATGCCACCAAAATAAGGGTCTGAAACAGCTATGATGACCATATATTGTTATATAAGCTGGTTGCAGTATGACTACAATATATGCTAGTTGTGTTATAATATGGTTGCAATATGATAGTACTATATTTAATTGTGGTATAAGATGTTTATATGTTTATAATATTGCTATATGATGATTATAGCAAATGTACAAGGACCTGTAGATCCACTAGAGACCATTAAAATCAAACCATTCCATCAGTACCCTGGGGTAAACATTCAAAAGGATGCGGAAAACCTATGACATGATGTCCGTTCAGACAATGATCTACATTCATAGTTTTTTGTCCACATCTATGTTAGTTCACCGGAAGGGTAAACATAGTGTTCAACAAAACATGGAGTTCAAAAGCAACCATTCACCAGCCGTCTCGCGGCCAGAGACACCATTTTGCCCTTCGTTTTGTAGTCATATGTGGCCATAAAGAGGCTATTGCTGGACCCTGCCATTGACGACTGCGGCTATTCGGAATCCTCTCAGAATCCAGACCCCTTGGGCACCGGACGCCCGGGCAAAGAGAGGCGTTGTGCCATCATTTGCCCCTGCAAGCAAAAAATTGAAGGTGTTGCCAGTCTCAACTTTGGGGAAACTTGAAACTAACAGGCTAACAGGTCAGGTTTTAGGGGTTTTGCCACAAAGATTGTGGGGACTAAAGATTGACGTATGTACCTTACTTGAAAACAAAGCCGACTTACCAAAGAGATGTGAACAGAATCAGTGAAACCCGGGGAGCATCAAAAGAAAAGATGAGAATATGTTATATATACATACACTACATATAATATATTATATTAGATAATATATGATAATAATTGATAATATTAGTTACTACTTACATCTACTTACTATGTAACGGGGACGATAAACTGGTGAACCGCTGTTCCCGGGAACATGCAACCATCACTTCATGTTGCAACTTCAAGGGAATCTACCATCGGAAAAAAAAAATGGTACAAAATGAAAACACCGCAGTTTGGCCAAAAGCGACAAGCTCCTAAAGCAAGGCTTCAAGGATTGGCAACGAAACGGGTTTTTCGAGAATCACGAAAAGAGGTATGTCGTGACAACTGGGCAACCCCACAGAGGAGTTGCGCATGGCGCGTGCGCCAAGCCAGAAGGGGATCACAAATCAAAGAAGGAACAGGAAGTGCCAAACCGTTGTGGCAACCTGGTACTCACTGGTTTCAATTTGTTCAGCCTGTCAGACCACCTCGGAAATCGCTAAGTCTGAGAAGGATCGAGCGATATGTTTTTCTCTGGGTCATCTCTGCTCATGAGCCAATCTAGGGCCGGAATGGCACATTGGAGCATATGGATATGATATAAAGCATGTGCATGGGACTTTGGATAATCTTCTTTCCGAAAATTGAAGAGGCAAAATGGTTTTCTGTTCACAAGCAGCAGCTATGAAACTGATAGCTAAAGGATGGGGCAAGCGGTTCTCATCAAGAAAATGGTAGTGAAGCCATGTAAATCCATGGCTGATCCCACTCGACCTGCTGATCCCATTACATCCCAAGCTGTGTCATCCTATTGAATGGTGAGGTCGCCAAAGAAAAAGACAGATAACAGTGGATAAATGCTTTACCATGCCATTAAATCCGACATGGGACATAGGACATGCTTCAAAATCACTAATATCATGATATATATATATATGTAGATATAGATATAGATACAGATAAATATATATTATAGATATGTAGAGTGATATAGACATAGATATAGATATACGTAGATATAGATTCATATAGACTGTACCCTCAAGAATTTGTGATAAAACGATCTAAAATAGTCTAAAAGAACAAAAGACTTTGGACCAAACTGATGGAACATGTGGATAGCTTAGATAGCCATAGATCGCCTGGATAGCTTCACACTGAAATGACTAGCTTCGAAGCCTAAGCTCTCGGGATCGCCTCAGACGCTGGACTGAAGCCAAGAGACTTAGCAGAGAATAACTGACATGGAAAAAATGGGAAAAATCCCAAGGGAATCCAAGGGATTAGTAGTCTGAGAGTACTCTGGTCTTGGCAGTGTGAAGATCTCAGCAGTTTCTCCCTGATCAGCTAGAACCATTGGATGCCTTTTATGCTGCTGGAAGATTCGTCACTCTGACATCTCAAGGTGAAGTTTATGCCGACAAGGCTGCTTCAGAAGCATTGCAATTCAATGGTGCAACCATCGCCGTTGCAAACTCACCGTGCACGAATGCGCCATGTATGCAAAATTCCATTCAATGGCCGGAAGGACATTCTACAGCTCGTGCAGAAGCGGCCGAAGCTTCCAAAAGGCTGAATGCACAGTCGAAGACAGACAACAGCCGGAGACAGCAGCTGTTTCTCCCTTCAGCCGTGCATCCAGCTCTTTGTTCTTCCGCAGAAGCTCTCTGCTTTCCTCCATCTTGGGTTGAAAGCATGAAAGCCATGACTGCTGATTGCCAATCAGCAGTCATTGCTTTCATGCTTTCATGCTGTCATGCTTTCATGCTTTCAACCCACTGCACTCTTGACAGTTCAGAGCCCAGAATGAGATGCTCTTTCCCTGCCTTGAAAATAGTGGGAGATGTTGTGAGTCTATCCCGAAGCTGTTCCAACTCCTGATCCCAGATGATTCAAGTGCAGCGGCCCGCCTCACTGGCCTTCATCCCTGGTGCAGGATCGTCCATACTATCAACCTCATTAAGCTCTTCAGGCGCAGAGCGCCGTCTGCTTGCGATCTCCAAATTCTTGAACGCTGCGTTGCGCGTTTCTTTCCAGCGCCGTGCTTCTTGCCTTCTGATACACAAGATGCCACTAGCTCACAAGCGCTAGGTCTCTTTCGTGCAGCATTGGTCTGTTAGCTGAGCCAATTACTGTCTAGCTGCTCAGCAGCCACTGCAGAAACCAAAATTGGGCGAAGAAGACCAGCATCCACGCTTCCAGCTGGCCATGTGCCCACCTCCTCTGACTATGGCAACCAGTCACCTCAAAGAACTAGTCAGCATGTATTCAATGTATTCGCACAGAGCCAGCTGCAAAATCCCGAAGAAATGTTTCACTATGGTCATGCAAAATTGAGTGCCAAAAGGCCTTGCAAGTGTGATGACCCAGCATCCCAAGTGAAGTAGGGGGATTACATTCAAATTACCAAACAAAATGATCGCAGCACCAAAAGTAATGGACCTGGCAGTTCAAACTTGCCAGACTAGCGGCTCAAAAGGTCGCTGAAAAGTATGTCCTGGGAGTTGCTTCCTATCACCTCCCAGCACCAAAAATTCAGGGACCAACCAACCCTCGAAACCACGAAGCTGGCCCAGAGTCACTTTTCCGTTCCAACATTTAGTAGCTAGATCGATATATAAACACGGAAATCGAATTGCCCAAGGCCAGCCCAGCCAGCAGAAGCCAAGAAGAATCAAACTGACGCAGAAACAAATATGCAGTTCACCAGGGATATCCCTTTGAAACTGACAGAACAATTGCACACAATTGTCGACATCAACAGCCACTACTAGTGGTAGTCAATCGCTGCAACTCCAGTTCTGGGAATTTGGACCAGTCTCCTGGGCTTAAAATGTCAACTTCAATAATTTCAATAGCTGTTTTTGGGGTGATATCCCTTCCACCTTTCTGAAAATGGTGTTGTCCCAGATTTTGTTGGAGAATCCCGTAGTCCGGTTGGTGAACACATCGACTGGGCAGCCCAACACAACATTTTTGGCAATCGCAATGAATCAAGAAACGTCATTTTTTGCAGGGATCTAGCTAAGACCCATATCATATATACATGTCATGTCAAGGAATGTTGCACGGTATTCCAATTCTTGGCAGCTGATGCTGTCGGCTTTCGGGGATTTGCTTTCTGATGCCCAGTGTGAATGCAATGCCCTTTTTGCAATTCAAATCGTCCATACAGAGAATCCAAACAACAGCACATCAAGAACCAAGAAATAGATTTGTGTGCATGCGTGAAATGAGGGCATCAATTGGGTTGCCTCTGAACTCTGGAAACATCAGCCACATTTTGAAGATTACCCTCTGGTAAACTGAGATAGTTATAGAAAATCACCACTTTCAACAGGTAAACCAAGTATAAATGGGCCATGTTCAATAGCTTGGTAGCTTTGTTTGTCCTTTTTTCAATCGCTGAGACGACAAGGTCTGGTGATCTTGACCATTTCCGAGGGCAGTGTGAGCACCACCCATGTAATCCCCTGGTGAATAGTAAAGTAGCTGAGATTTATGGATGTTCATCCCCTCCAAATATGGTATAATATTCACAACAGATTTGGAATCATACCTATAGGCCCTATAATTATATATATATATTTATGTGTGTGTGTGTTTTCTTCTTCCAGAGGATTGGAAAGCAAAGAGGTCAGATTTTGTCAGATTCCTGTACACTTTTCTATTGCGCAATTCACGAATGCACGATTCAGAGGGCATGAGGCTACAAATCCACCGAACCAGCACACTCCAGAGAGTGACGCCGTGTAATGTCAACCGCGGATGAATGCTAAGCCCTGAGCAGGGCTTCTTACATTCTCTGGGGTTGACACTAGCCGCTTACTATGCACACAATCCATTCGTTCGCAGCAAGCTCTGTGGTGGCCCAATATGAAGATCCTGATGTCATCATTCTCTGCGGCGCGTTGCTGGAACCCACGCGCATGACCCCTGCAGGATAAAAATGCATCAAATATACCGTATAATACCCACAACGGTTGGTCATCTAAAGTAAAGGCAGCACGCTTCCCAGTTCTGTTTGCTTGTTGAGATCATATCTAAATATATGTAGATCTATCCACCCTGAAGTACATAGGCTGGTTATCGAACTTGGCCCTCCCTTCCAGTGCTAAACGCTCTCATTTCTTGACGCACCCAGTCGTAGGTGGGTCATGTCTATTTACTTGCATGATGTTGCATGATGTTGCAATATGATATGCCAAATCGGGCATTTTACAATGGCATACAATGACCATATTATACCCATTTACAAGCTTCCCTGCACCTTCAAGTACTCAGAAAAGTCTCCCTCTGACTCCGTTGCTGCGAGCACGAAGGTTTCATCAGGTTGGCGATAGGAATCGCCCACGACCAGGAAGAAAAATACGCGGAACGCGCGGAAAAAATCACCACGAAACAGAGACAAAGCCCGGCTTGGAAGTTGTTGTGACTCAAGACCAAAAATTGAAATGGATATAACTTTACAATACTTTATATAAGTGGAGGGTGGAAGTGCTGATAAGCAATTGTTGGGTATTAGATAATTTCCTTCCGAACATGGTGAAAGCCATGGAAGTTCCACTTCCTCCTGTTTCAACTGAGTAACTTGGGCACTCCGCGCAGAGGCGCGGGGGCACTCTTTTGGAGGGCTGTCCCCAAGCATTCCACGCTGTGGTGAGTTATGCACCAGCCAGCTGACCAAAAATCGACGACACCAACTGACCAAGTGCTGGTTACCCTCAATACTTTCCGGAGATTCTTTGGGAAAAATACCAACAACACATGGAATTTGAATGTGTCCATTTGCCGCAAACTTGCTCGATTTCATCGCAAACACTGCATTAAGAAATTGCATTTGGTATCCTGAAAGTGAAATGACTCATTTGACCAGCTTGGATAAACCACAATTCACCCAGGGTTAATCCATGAGTTGGACATATTCCTTGTGACCGTGACCTTCGACTGGTGCACCTTTCGCCATTCACCTCGTTGGAATGATCGCCATTCACTTCCTGACCTCAGAGATGCATAAAACGATCAACTAAGCACCACAAACGGATGTTACTATCTATAGGTTTGTAACTAATGCAGAACATCTGCATCTGTATATACACATATATATATATACATATATATATATACATATATATATATACATATATATATACATATATATATATACATATATATATACATATATATATATATACATATATATATATACATATATATATACATATATATATATACATATATATATGTACATATATATAGAGAGAGAGAGAGAGGGAGAGAAAAAAAAAAATGTATATCCGACCTATTCGGACGTTGTATCATCATCCAACCGATTGTGGCTTGACTTGGGGATCATCAACAAAACCGAGGCTCCAGGCAGCATCACTGAACGAGGCGGGGCACGACGCCGCGCCAACTGTCCCCGTCCACCAGTTCGGCATCGCAGCCCACGCAGCGTTCGTGGCTTTTGGATGGCTCGGAGGGGGTCCCCGGATTCGTATTGGATGTACTCTCTGGTAATCAAATGTGGTTGGGAAATCCACTATAAATATCTATCTATCTATCTATCTATCTATCTATCTATAATCTCTATAAATGGAGGTCTGAATGTGAAAATCATCCAGAATGGTTTGAAATACAAAATCCAGCGGGGGATGGTGAGATACTTGGATGTGCAACCAGTTCACTGCTTCGGGTGATGCCGAGTTTTGGTGCTGTCATAATTGCCGACTCGGAAACGATTTCCTGGTATTGTTATATGTGTATATATATAGAGAGAGAGAGAGACCAACTTCCAAATGAGGGAGCCTCTTACCTACAATCCAGAAAACCCAATCAATTCCAAGGTAAAACCTCTGATTCTAGGTAGTCAAATCCTCCCATACAATATATATATATTATTATATATAATTATATATATATATTAGTATATAATTAAGTTGTGTATATATGTCTATATATACAGTATATATAATTACTGTATATAACATAAAAACATAAGAAACATCTCATTAATCTTGGATTTGGGCTCATCATTCTTGTTGGGTCAGCTCCCACCGACCATCCAGATTGTGGCAACCGCAGCTTTAAAAAGAATGTGGCGCAACCGCAACCGCAACCGCCAGGTGCCAGATTCAGGTAATCACCATGACGCTTATGAACAGCGAACAGCTGCCTTTTGCCATGGCTAATTTTGGTTTATAATTATGCAACAAACAAACACATGTTTGGCTGGGGAGCAAAGATTCTCTTCGTGCTGCTCTGTTCAACTTCCAAATGCTCAAATTCTAAAGGTGGGGACATCGTGCATCTGTCGAACCTGGGTGGTTTTTCATCTTTTCCAGCTTTGAAACACCACCGGCATACGGATGTTGTTCACCGGTGGGGACCTGTTGTTCGGCCGCCACATGCTGTGCTGCAGTGCTGCGCCGTCCCCTTCCAGACAGGGCCTGGGTCGAGGCGGAGAAGATCCGAAACCTCTCGTGACATCTGGTAAAACATTGGCTGAATCCTGCGAGAAGGGGAAAATGTGTGCAAATGGGTATGGGTCAATACCTATAGATACATTTTTAGTGGGATGAACATCCATTTACCAGCTATTTTGGGGTTCACTAGGTACCAGGGTTTTGACCCATCCCCAAATATGTGTCTTTCTGCTGTTGTGAATAGCGCCCTCTGTTCTTTTCTTGTCCAGTTAACAGAAGCAGGTCACTGCATCAATGATTTGTTTTATTCAGCAGGAGATATGGCTGTGTCTGAAAAAATTAGCTACCGCAAAAACCCATAGTTGATCATCATGTTCCTGTAAAACTCACAATGTCTAGGATATAGCCCATTTTCAGACACACCCATCAGCTAGTCATCGGCAACTTGCTCATTACAGGTGGTGCATGTATTCCAAAAAACATGTGGGATGAATGAAACTGCAAGACGAATTCAATTTGAATACACTTTAATGTGCAAAATGACGGTAATCCCCCGGATTGAGGGGGGTTCAGAGTTCAGAGAAGACTATATGACTATATATAATTATATATTATATATTATATAATATGTATAATATATAGTATATACATATTTATAATATAATATATATATATGTATACATAATATAATTATATATACATATCACTTGTGATCATTTGATGTTTTTGGCTAATAGGGTGCATCGGAGATGAGTTTTCGTTGGTTTCACCATGGATATGGCTCAGATTTTGACCCAGGGGACCTCAGATTGCTCGTGGTAAGCATCTATTTAATCTATTTCTGCATCTCAGTTTTGACCATGCCCATATATCAATTATATATCAATTATATATCAATTATATTCAATGTTATTTGGATAGTGTATAAATATGTGATTTCATACATTGCAAGCCAAAATTTCAGGATGGGGGGAATCTGGGGAATCATGACTTATGACTTCCCATGACTTCCCGTTGTTCAATGGGGGTGACCCCTTTACTCAACCGGTCCATTGGGGAAATGATCCCATGAAATCCACGGATGAACCGGGTTTTCGGGCTCGGCTGAAATGAACCTCAGCACTGTGCCCCATGCAGTTGCGGCGAAGAGAAGGTGGTTGGCCAAGAAAAATCCGTTGGAAGTCATCAAATCATCAACTGTTTCATCAATGTTCTCATCCAATCTCATCAACTTTCTCATCAACTGTCTCATTAAATCTTATCAAATCTCATCACATCCACGTAAATGGTATGGAGTTCATAGGAAGGCGACCCCCCAGTTACAAGTTGCTTGAGAAAACCCCTCGGTATATACCCACGCAGCCTAGTTACACACCCACTTGCCCTTCTAGGCTGAGGTTTCCTGACCTGTAGCTACATCGGAAATCTAACTCAGACCCATGGAATCCGCTCGAATTCAATATATTGTTAGTATTTGTTAGTATATGCATATATGTAGATGTAATGTCCCAATAAAAACATGCGGAACGAGCAAAAGCAGCCAAGAAACCACACATGTCTCAAGACTACGGACACACCAAATCACCAAAACTTATCAACATTGTCAAATTCTGCGGAAACTGGGTTCATTGAGTTTGTGGTTAACCCCCTTTTTGGGTTCTCCGAGTCCTCTGGGTCACGAGGTTCAACAAATCAGGCCGTGGCCAGGAAACCGGACAGCAGCTGAGTTTTCGCCAGCCGAGGCACAGATTCAAAGTCCTAACTCTGCTTCCAAACTGGCATCATCAAAGCACCGCATGACCTCAACTGTCTGCGTCAAGTCACTGGGTGACCAAACAGTGAATGATTTACCCTGTAGGCCCTGTGAAGTTTTTCCACATGGCAAAAATACCGCATTTGGGGATGATTGTCCCATTAAGACCCTCCATTTACAATGGATTTTCCATGTCCACATTTGATTACCGGAGAGTATAGCAATTTGACATCCATAGAAAACATCAGAATTCATCCGCAAATTTGGCATGTTCCATGACCATGTCATTACTGTCCCTCAACTCACTCTTAAACTCATGTACCCCGCAAGAAAAAGTATAAAATACATATATATATATATTATATTATATTATAATATATATATTATCATATTATATATATTATATATTATATTATATTATATTATATTATATATATTATATATTATATATTATATATTATATTATATTATATTATATTATATTATATATATTATATATTATATTATATATATTATAAATATATACATATCTATATATATTATATTATATATATATATATTCTTATATATTATAAACTTAGCACGATACCACGTGAAATTGTCCAAAAACTGGCTATACTATACCATACCCATCAAAACTCGATGCACCCTTCGGAATTTTTATGGTGACAAGCCCAAGTCCAAGGTGGCTCATGGATTCCTCAGTACCCCTGGTCCCATCTGCTGGAAATCCCCAATGTTCAAAGGTACCCCAAGTCATTTTGTGCTAAGCTGTTGATTTATCAAACATGTGATATAACTACCCTCGCTGTCCCCTATCGAGTAGATAAATAGATCCTATACTTTTCACCAGGGTGTTCTTGCGAAGATTTGTCATCTTATTTTGATTTATTTTGGCTGTATATGTATCATTATGTATCCCGTATCCCCGTTTCGATGATGAACGTGGATGAAAGAAAGCATATAATGTTTGATGTAAATACACCGTTACACCGTACAGTACTGATGGTATTCTTTTTTCTTCCCCCCTATTGAATCTATTGCTATGTCCTTATTCGGGGGTAAGGATTGGGTTAGAATCTCGGCCTGGAGCATGGCTGCAGCTGCCGCAGCCATGGCCTCCTCCTCCCCGTGGCAGAAATGCAGGGGACTTCCCCAAAACGCATGGTATGTTCGAGCGAATGCTCGGAAATGACTGGAAAATCACGGTATTTTAGAAGTGTCTGTGAATCATGGCTGATTGGTTCGATGGATTCATGTTGCAGTCAAATTCTACAGGGAAGCCATGCTCTTTGCCAAGGTACAGAATAACATGGAGATGTCCTGTGAACAGCTGCTTCCAATGCTGAAAGCAAACCCACAGACCGTGGTCTCTCGGCGCCACCGAGTATGGATTCATATGCCAACTCCAACCCCCGGAACGGTGGTGCCCCAGTTCGTTAGCTAAGTTGGTTTATACAAATTTACATATATATATATATAATTATATATAATATGTATATGATTGTATATGTAGTCTAGCTAGGTGTTATAGTGCAAATCTAGTTAGGTGGCTTTATAAACAAAATATGTAATTGATTGTAATTGCTATTTGCTATGGGGCACCACCTTGTACGACCCTTGTGATCAACTAGCGACACTTCCGATCCATGTTTGCAGCGATCTGTTAGGGCTTCTTTCTGCCGGCCGCGGCCACACTTTGGAAGCGCTTCGTAATGTCAACCCCGGATTAATGAACCACTTACTGACTTACTGATACCCCCCCCAAAAAAAAAACAGCTAAAAAAAAAGTCGCATATATAAAATCACAGTAATTCCAAGTCTATTTAGTATTCTACCCCTCCATATGAGTTCGGTAACTCACTTTTCCCGCGGCCCGTCCTCTGTGACGTCCCGGCCCTCCTCCAACTCCTCTTCGGTCCATTCCCGTTGGTGGACGGCATGTGCCCGCTCCTGCGGCTGAACGATCGTACATGAGTACCCTTTGGTAAATCCACTCTAAATGGAGGTGTTTTTGGGAAAATCATGTATAGATTCTATTATAGATGCTGAATTTTCCAGCCTGCCATGTTTGATTACCAGATGGTATGTACACAAATTAGGGATACCATGACCCTTAGATGTTTTCCGCCTACTATATACTATGGAACATTTAAAAATAAACTTTGGGGGTATCCCCAATACTTTGTGGAGACCCACGGTATGGGCAAAAACCAAAGGTGTGACCCAATAAATGTGTCCAAATGATCTGGCTACGAAAGTTCAACTATGCCTACATGGATGTGTGCTTTTGATTTACGATTCACGGCCATACTTTTAAGTTCGTCCCACCTAGCAACTGGTTGTCATAGCCATGTTTGGCTCTCCCGTTTGACAACAGCAGGATTCTGGGGGCCGCAACATCACCTGAGTTTTTATCATGTTCTGTTGGTTGGTGATTACTCTAGTATCTCGACGACTGTTCATTACGATTCCTGGGATGCTCATCCAACCTAGATCATCAAATATCAGTAAATATCATATGGAGGTGTCCTAAAACAGGGTACCCCCCAAAAAAAATCATCCAAGACCATGACTTTGTATTGAAATAACCATGGTGATTTGGGGATCCCCCATGACTTAAGATACCTCCATATCTTCTGATATTCCATTGTCGACATGACAGAAATCTCATCCAGTCGACTTCCTCGAGGATGGTCCGCGTGGCGTTGTTTTCGTGGCTGTTCCGCAGGAAGGGCCTCGGCAGGGGGCTGTTTGTTGGCTGGGAAGAGGATGGTATTGGAATGTAGCGTCGGTTTGTTTGACGTTGTGGACAATAACCAATTTTTCATGGGTAAATCATCGAACTAAATGATCCAAATGGGCCCAATTGTCCATAGCTATGTTGAATTACCAGAGGGTACGACTTATTGCATATACCCTCTGGTAATTTAACATAGCTATTGAAAATGGCCATTTATAGTGAGTTTTCCCATTGACAATGGTGTTTTTCCATAGTTATGTTAGTTTACCAGGGGGTAACTTAGAATCCATCCTTTTTGGGGGGTTGCTTTTTGGTGAGAGCCAAAAAGATATCATCGATCATCCCAGTACTGCCAGGGGATCATCGCCAGGATGGGGATCATAAAATCCATGGTAAAATGGTGATCAGTCCATGGCCCCATTCTTATTTTTATCTCTTATATATATATGAATAGATTTGAATCAAACAGAGATCATCCCAACAATGGAGGATACCACCAAGAATGGAAGCATCCAAAGGATTTCAGGCCGCCCAGGTGTGTTGGCTTCCTCTGGATGGATGCGGTAAAGCTCGGGGAATCAAAGCTCTGGTAACAGAACCCCCGGATTTATTGGAAAAATATTCTATGGATGGGGGATGTTCCCGGGGTAGATCTAAACCAAAACAGCTAGACATATTTTACCAATATATCCCGTAAAGTCCCAGATATGAATGGACAGAACGTGGGTCGGATTATATGCTGTTTTAAATCCTCAACCAACCAGTTTACCCTTCGACCGGTTCTGACCACACCCCTGCCCCCAGCAAAAGTCGTATTCTCGCCTTCGGGGGTTCTCGGACCGCCTGCGTGGGACCCTTGGAACGTGTTTGTTCCTGGCCATGTTGAAACTCCAGCACTTTAGCACATTTACAATATTTGATTCAATGATACCTATAGATATGTTATATATACATACATACTTACAGATATAATAAAGTTACATACTTATAATTACATATACTGTATATAATTGTGATATTGTGTATATATATATATATGAAGAGGAAAGGAAGAGGAAATGAAGAGAACCGGAAAAGGAATTGAAGAGGAAGAGGAAAGGAAAAGGAAAGGAGGAAAGGAAAGGGGAAGAGGGTCTATCTGTGGTCAATTTTTGAACAAATGGATATCGCTATGGTATCCCAAGGGGTATCGGGAATCTCGCCTCTTGCATGGACGCAACTTTGTGCAAATCAGCTTCAGGTGAGGACGTTATATACGATTATGGGTATCGCTTTCTGGGGGGGTCGATTACTACACAGTGTTTGGTGCACTTTCCAGACCGCAAGGGAGCATTCCCTTAGTAAAGTCAAATGCGATCATTTTGACCATACCTCATATGTAATGTAGATATATACATACCATTACATACCATTATGGGGTGATTGTGCTTCGGTGGAGCCCCGGAGTGGCCCACCAAATGGATGTGTCTGACTTTGTTGGGGAAAACCACGAAATCCATTGCTTATTCATTGTTTTTTTAGTAAAATAACCGTGTTGGGGCTTAAATACCCCATTTTTGAGTCACACTCAAATCATATCAAATCACAATATGCTTGGCTATATCCCATGAATGCCCATTCATTTTCTACACATTTGCTGGGGAAATCACCATTGAATCACCATGAAATGCGGAGAAAACCGTGGCTCCCACCGAACCGAACATGGCTCTGCCTCCAGCTGATACTGAAGTGTTCCTGTCAACGTCTGACCAGACATGGCAGTGGAAAATCCCAGATTGATAGATGATGGTGATAGATGATGGTATTTGAGATGTATGATATATGTATGATACTATCATCTATCAGTGGAAAATCAAAAAAAATATTTAAGATCATATGATACAGTAGATAGATGGATGATACATCTGATTGTTTGAAAAAAAAACTGTTGTTTTCTGTTCTGTTCTGTTTCCACCGCTGGGAAAAACTGTTTTCCGGAAAGTATCGAGAAGGTCAAAGATTTCCGGGCCAATTGCATGACCTCAACGGCTAACACTTTGGACAATTGCAAATCATCAAAATGTCGCTTCACCGATGGCTGGTTCAAACATGTTGGAACACGCATATCATCGCAATGCATTTGGAGAAGAAAGGTGTGGATCCCCACCAACCCATTCCTAGTTGGTTTGTGCTCGTTTGGATACTCCGAACCGTTAAAGTCGACCAATTTAACAGAATTGTGTCAAATCTCATTGGGACGCCGTTGGATCAGGAAGTCAAATAAGTTGACCAAAAGCAAGGTCAACCCCAATGGGACGCCGATGTACGACAAACTCTGTTTTGGCAAGTTTTGCTGTGTGAAAGATGAGGAAACACCTTGTGGACGCAACTCCCAAAACATCTTCAAAGTGGTATTAAATACAACAAAAAACACTCATGTCATATTGGGACGCCAGTGATTCACCACATGTAGATTGCAAGTGATCACAAGAAAAGCTGCTTTTACCCGTTGGATTCTGTAGGGACACGGTTACCCTCTGGTAAACTAACGTAACTATGGAAAATCACCATTTTTAATGGGTAAATCCACTATAAATGGCCATTTTCAATAGCTATGTTAGTTTACCAGAGGGTAGCTGTTTCGAACGACGTCCGAACGACGTCCGAACGACGTATCGAACGACGTCACAGGGTATCAAAACCCAGACCTTTGGATTCATTTGCTTTCATGTTCCTTTCATTCTCCTTTCATTTCCTCTCATTTCCTGTCATTGTCCTTTCATGCGATCATGAAAACATGGTATAGACACAACCTAAATACGAAGTCACACAAAGTCGCTGGCAATGCAAAACCCACGAAAAAGTCAAAAACTAAAAAAAAACTAACTTGCTAGACACAAGCTGGACGCAACATCGGTCAACTTTAGAAGTTGCGTGCGCGCAGCTGGGACGCTCATTTCATTGAAATCGTTCAACTTTAACAACTCAGAGTACCCATTACTGGTACCTAACAGTCTGGAATTACGGTAGGTTGGCAATGCATAGCTTCTAGCATTGTAGCTTGTTCCCCAGGCCTGGGCGGGGGCGCTGTTGTAGCCAAAGGAGTTATCCCACATCTTGAAGCGAATCACCTGGCCGTGGCCCGGACAGGAGACAAACATCATTCTTTCGAAAAAAAAATGGCACATGTGAAGGGTTCCTTCAGAAGGTTGTTACAGTTGTTACCTACAATGATGTTGTTGTTGTTGTTGATGATAATTATGATCATGGTGACAATGATGATGAAGGATTTATGACACAATGAATCTGATGGCAGCTGTCCTCTTGTCAGTGGATGCTCAAGGTGGATGCCCATGCTTCGTCCCGCTGCCATTGTTTGGGTATCTCCATGAAATATTACCGGCTATCCCACACTATATCCCATGTATGTATATATATATATGTGTATATATGTATATACATATACATATATGTATATATACATATATATATACATATATATATATATATATTAGATCCATTTAGATCCCACTAAACCAAAATTTCAATCATGATAAATATGATATGTAATTAATTCACAAACCTCATTCTTTCCCAGCCTCCAGATACACTTTTTAAATCCCAAATGCCCATCGAACCGAGGTGTCTCAATCTCGCCTTCAAATGGGGGCAGCTTTGGGCCAGCCCTTCAAATCCTCCGGCGTGGAGCTGTGCGGCAAAGCGTACCTTGGTGAGGGGAAACCTTGGACAAGGTGGTGCCCTTTATGGGTGAGTCAAGAACCTTTTTTAGAGAATGTGGTAGCACCGTCATGCAATGACCTTGAAGAGGATCTTACAACATCATTAAACAAGAACCTCTAAGACTCTAAGAGCATCTTACTAGAGCTTTCATGCAAGAACCTTTAGCAGGATATCTTCAAGATCTTCATACCAGGACCTCTTAGAGGACTCCATAAAGGCTTCTCACAAGGTCTAGACGAGTTTCATGCAAGACCTCAAATGAGCACCCTTCCGCAGCGGGAACACTCCGGCACAAGATGCAGAGGGGGTTGCACAAGATATCAAAATAATTAAGCACTGTACTACAACCAGACCCATCCGACCCGCGCAAAATGAGGAGAGGGTTGCGCGCGCGATATCAAAATGAGCATTGCGATGAAACGATCCAACACGCACAACAAGCACCGCGCCACAACGAGAACGACGTCCGAAGCAACGTTGGACGTCACATGATTTTAGTTGTCAGCATCTTTTGTGGAAATTATGACGCTTGCCACCAACAAAATGAAGCCGAGGCGTCCTAATAAGTACTGTACTAGTAAATGTCATTTGAAAACATCGTCAAAGTTCACCAAATGTTGCCCCAAATATTGCACCTCGCATGAAAAAGACCTCCAGCACTTCTCACACCCACGCCTGCCAACGTCTGAGCAAGGTGCACAATATACTGCGCCTGCCAGGCAGATAAAAAAAATGCCTGAAGCCTTGCACCCGTCCACACAAAACATACAAGGCTCCAAAAACAGACACAGAACGCACCTGCGCAGTAGAGATCTCCGCGAACACGTTTCGTGCGAGACTTCATTTCAAAATGGAGCGAGGAACTCTTGCGCTGTCACCAAAAAACGCAAAACCGAGGGCACCACCTTGTGGGACCGATACATGTGACCCGATTCCACCTGCTAAACGTATGCGTTCTGCTCCTCAAAAGCAAATCTCTTGGACTCAATAAAGCAACACCATCCTCCTAAGGTTCTAAACCAGGTGTCCAAACCCAGAGTACAGTGTCATACAGTGTCCATTTATCAAAAAACAAAGGAACAACAGCAGGTTTCCCGGCGGCATCTCGGTAGATGTGCTTCGTTCTCTCAGCCTCACCGTTGGTTTCTGGTGCTCCCCGAAGCTGAAAATGAGGAGAACCATCAAAACTGCTGGATTTTAATATGGTTAAATGGTTAAACATGGTTAAACATGGTTAAACATGGTTTACCCTTCAGGAAATGGGGATGTAGATGTATAGACAGCTATCATATGAAATGGGCCCAATGCTTAAGGTTCCAAAATAAGCAAATGTCCCGTTTTTCCGACCCATGGGAGGTGGCCAGGTACTACATGTTTCCCACAAACCTAATGTTGGCGAATCATTCTGGTGAATTCCTCCCGAAAACGATCTAGAAGTACAGAGCACCACCAATTTTTGACGTGAAACAGTGAAACCTCCAAAAAGGGCCACTTCCTGTAGTAAAAGTAGTAAAATGATGTTTGGAAACCCATGTTTCAGGTTTCATGTTAAATTCTGGGGATGTGATTCTCATGGTTCGCACCATCATCTCAGGTGTCCAGACCAACATCTCCGCTTCCTCACTGGGATCTTCCACATCAATCAAGACCTGGAAACAAAGGCAAAACGCACGGGAAAAAAACATGAAAAATGCGGGAAAGAACAAACAGCAAACACAAACATTGTGTTTAAGCGACAAAAAGAAGGTCCATAATCATCATAGCCAACAAATTCATGAGAAAGATGAAACCCGCCAAAAATTGTGTTGTTCGTTACGTTTTCCAGGATGCTCTTTCTACACAGTGGTTGAGCGGTTCAGTGTCTTTTGTTTGGAGTTCCTACAGATACAAGTACCAGCCATAGCTGAAGAAATGGAGACCCCTGATCAACGAATGGGGCCACTGTGGGCTGCTTATCAGACTAGGAAAAGACTCACAAGAGCTACGGGGCCACAGATCTTGGTCGTAAACAAGTTCTTAAACCATTCCATTGCAGGGTACCCAATTGTGACCCTATACCCAAATATTCCCCAAAATCAAAATCAAGTCGACATGGATGGGTTTGGGTCGAAAAGAAAAAGGGGAACCGCAAATGTCAGCACCCAAACGAGGTGGAAATTGTGAAGAACTCGAATCATGGATGCAGATGCAGTTTCTACCAGTTCCAGCATCATCAACACCATCCCAACAATTCGGTGGTTCTTAAAATGCAGTGCCTCATCCAAAATCGGGCATGTTTGATAGGGACCAATGGGATAAGGAAACCAATAGTATTAAAAATAAGCAAATTTTGAGAAGCACACAAGTATGTAGAGCAAACAAATCATGGTAACCTGGTAGTTGCTCCATTTGCAAAAATCCGAGTATTCCAGCAGTGTCATGTCAATCCCAGAGACGAAACCTCCGCTGCATTGAGGGCGATGTCTTGGTCGTACACAAAGGTGAGCTCCTGTAGGGATCCATGGATCGCCAAAACGGGCGATCGGTGAGCTCCATCCCATAGAGGAAATCCATGGTGTTAAAAGGGGAAATACTATACTGCTTGGTGGTTGACCTACCCCTCTGAAAAATATGAGTTCGTCAGTTGGGATGATGACATTCCCAATATATGGAAAAATGAAAAATGTTCCAAACCACCAATCAGTATAACATATATTATATATTATATATTATATATTATATATTATATATTATACATTATATAATATTTTATATATATTCCTACGAAAATGGGTTGATGACCATCCCCCAAGAACTTGGCAATCTGCCCAAACTTTGAGCAAGGCACATGTGGCACATATGTCACATAACCCTGAAAATGATTTGGAGGAGTCCGGCCCGCCAAAAGAACAAGAACTTCGCGAATGAACCAAAACTCCGCAGCGAACTCTTCTTGTGGAAAATTACCAACAATACCTATAGATCATTTTGAATGACTCTATATTAAACAATCCCATTCAACAACCATTCATCAAACATTACCCTCTGGTAAACTAACACAACTATGGAAAATCACCATTTTTAATGGGAAAACTCACTATAAAAGGCCATTTTCAATAGCTATGTTAAATTACCAGAGGGTACCCTCCAGCAATCAAATGTGGCTAGCGATTCTCCTCGAGCAAAGGGCAAAGTTGTCCAAAGTGGCGCCATGTCTGGGGCCATGGAATCCCCTGGTGAATCCCAAAGGGAACAGGATTCTTTCTGGATGCTTATCCCCCATAGAATGGTTGGGGAAATCTACAGGAAACCATGGCTTGACCATCAGATACTGGGGGTTCCTGTGATATGAAACTTAAACCAATCCAATGACGCAAATACAGTTCATCAATGTTCATCATGTATAAAAGGTATTGACAGATCCCCGGATGGGTTTTTTGAGATGTTCTTGGTCTGCAACATGAGTCACCCTCAGCATTCCCTGTCCAAACTCGACAACATGAAGAATGAATTCAATATGCCTTGCGCTGTTGGGACGGGGACCTTTGGTAAAGTCCATCTTGGAGATCCCCACTTGACATGCTATCCACATCCGGGCAACACTCGGCAGAACCGACGGATCATGAGGAGCATATGTTGCAACCCCCCATTTGGTGTTGTTCAGAAAGGAGGTATACCGGTGTACCAAAATTGTCATTTCGATGAGAGAAGTTGAAAATTGATCAGTGATGAGGGATGACAAACCATGGGTTTGTGGCGTACCCAATTTTTGGGCAAACCCATTTTGGTTGGTGATTTATATTTGAGCAGTGTCAAAAACCCACTGGAAAATCATGGAAAATCCGTCATAATCCCCAGTATAAGGTAAAGCCTCATCAACCATCATGATCTATCACTTATAACTGATCCATCATAGTTTTTTAATGACGAAAACCTGTGTGTATATATATATATATTAAACCACGTTGGATTATGTTTAAAAAAAAAAAAAACTCCACGAAATGACGCATCACCGCTTTTTTTGACACCAGGCACCTTAAGCCGACCCCTGCTCCACCCCCGCAAGGCGCACCGGCAACAAGGGCACCCGCTGCGACAAGCGTGTGACCTTGCTGCAGAAGTGATGTTTGCCCCTGCGAAACTGGATGGTTCCCATCATCCCGGGTAAAACTGGGACATGCGTAGTGGTTATATGGAAATTAAAACCAAAAAAAACAAAAACACATGTTGAATCTAAGTGGGTAGCTGCAATCCACCAAGTAAACCATGGTTTCTGTTGTATGTTTAATCTCAGGGGAAAGGGATTTATGATGATTTATGATCATTGATGGTGATCAATGATTAATGGATTTAGCCTTTGGTGTCCTCAAACATGGCTAGCTGGGAAGTCCGAGAACTAGCCATGGAGGCTTCTTCTAGCTGGGAATATTATCGAACTAAGTCGACCATGGCTTCAATAGCTGTTACCCTCTAGCAAACTAAGAGTTTGCTATGGAAAATGGCCCATGTGACGCTCCTCTGCAAACAATTCGTCAGTACTAAACGACCCATCCAGTTGGTTCACCCTCTTATGTTGAGCACTCCCCTCTGGCAATTGAACGTAGCAATGGAAATCACCCTTTGAAATATAGGTAGTAAATCATCGAATTAAAGGGTCCATTGTCCACAGCGCAAACTGTTGAATTACCAGAGGATACATATGTGCCATCGTCGAAAGATGGATCATAGAAAATTGGGGGATGATCATACCACCATTCATGGGAAAACAATGGAACATATATAACGCAAAAAATAATATCCTGCCTGACAACTTAGCTGGTTACAGATCCTGGTTTTTTTTGCTTTCAAGAATTAATCGTTGGTTCCAAGGATCTTAATTTTGAATCCAGTCTCTGTTAACTTTCCTAGCTGAGCAGTGCCACAAACTTTTGGTCATCCGCTTTCACTGGTTGGTTTGCTCATAGCTTTTCGTGCCCATGGGCTTCACAAACCTCCCGATATTCGGATCTTTCAAAAACTTGGTTGACTCCCAGCCGAATCGATCAACCAACACAGTTTCATATTTAACCAAACCTCCTTGAAATTCATGGTTTTGATTTCCATATATGTTGATTCACGATTGTTTCTGGGACGACGAGCCGGCTGTGGCCGCTAGATACTCCAGATCGGATGAAGTGATGTAAAGTGATGCAAGTGCGGTGCAATTCATACGTTTTCCCTGGTTAAATATCAACTTTTGCTGGTTGTAGTTAAAGCATATTAAAGCCCCATGTTTGCTGGTGAATTCCTCAATCGTCCTATTAAAATCCTGATGTTTCCAGGTCATATAGATCCAGTTTTTCGCTGCTTCATTCTCAATTTTCCTACCGTAATTTGTTGCTGAATCTAGGGATGGATCAAATCCTGTAAAAAACCATATTTCAGGGGATAAACATCCATAAAGGACAGCTATTTTAAGTGCTATTTTCTGATGTCATCCATCCGTGTTTTGCTTATGAAAGTTGTCACATTCCTTGCAGTTTTGCTCGGGGCCTTGGGGAGGAGTTCAAGCTCCGTGACGGGATCTTCTGCCTGTGATCTTTCAAGGACAATGGAGAAAAATACGGGGTGGGTACCCTTTAGTAATCAAACATGGCAATGGTAAAAAATCTGATGACTGGTTTCCATATGAATGGAGATTTCTAGCTGGGAAAATCATCTATAAATGAGATGAAATGGAAGGTTTTCCACTGCTATGCTTGATTACCGGAGGCTATTTACCCATTTTTTTCGGCAAAACTGTGATACTGAAAAAGCTCTAACAATCCCGGGGGTTTGGGGGTTCCAAGCTCACCCTATATGGCTATGGTTCAAGAAATTGGTAATCCGATTGTCCCATCTCCCTAGTGATCTTACCAGCAGTTAGGGGGTGGAAACCTAGATTCTGTCATGAAAAGAGGGCACTAATCATTGATGTTTCCACAGACAGCAAGAAACAATATGTGGTTCATGGAAATCAGAGGGGTGCATTGATATATGTTGTTATTGATTTATGGTCCAACATGCAGATTACCAAGAAAGGGGGTGATATGATTACATCACCATCAATAGATGTAGGTCATGACGCCTCGTGTGGTCTTAGTCAGTGCAGGCAATGGTGTGGATCTTGGATTTTTTTCATGGCAGCCTCAACTGAACACTTCAAAACGTTTCAGAGGGCGTGTGGGTTAGACAGGTGGCATGTAATCGGTTCGGTTCTTCCCAAACCCCCAGCCACAAGGGGCCATATGTCTATCCATTCTCAAGATGAAAACCTGGACAATCTTGGTTGAGCGCTGCTGAGGAATCCCATTGTCTCCACTGCCAAATGAAATTCCTGGACCCATCAAAGCCCCAAGCGCCTCAATGACGTCTGTCCAGAGGTTTAACTCGAGTTCTTCCAGTTGAGAGCCTTAATTTTCTTTCGGGAGAAACCCAGCTGGCGGGCCGCTAATGATCAAACTGGGGATCTGAGGGAGCACCTGCATTTCTCATTTTCATGGGCCCAAAACGGTGCCCAACAACGAACAAGATTCCGCATAGATTCCGTAATTCTGGTGGATTTCCTATGGAACGATACGTTAGAAAACACATCACTCAGCGTCTCAGTTGACCCAGGTTTTGGTTCATCCGGTCAATCAGAATTTTCCCAAAAAATTGTCCAATCAAAACCGTGCCATTTCTGCACGTTTCCCACCCTCCTGCTGGGGTAAAATCACCATGGCTCCACTCATCTGGGTATTTTTTTACGAAAAATCAATCATTTCAAAGGGATATGTTGGGATAAACTAAGATATGAAAAACTTCACCTTGATTCTGTAGATATTTTTTATGTTCTTCATAAACCACCGTGTTTTCACTTCTTTGTTTTGTTTAGCCGTGGCAATTCCCAGCTGTTTCTGGGCCTCCGGGCGATTTCTGTTGATGAGGGTCAGGATGGCCTCACCGCACACCACTGTCACAACAGTTTGAATCACAGGAAAATATCATGGGAAATCATTAAAGAAACCACAACCATAGTGATTTAATAGTGATTTAATCTGATTTAATGGGATATGAATGGGATATAACCTCTGGTCATTTGTTGCATGGCTATTGAAAATGGCCATTTATAGTGGATTTTCCCATACAAAATGGTGATTTTCCATAGTTACGTAAGTTTACCAGAGGGTAAAGAAACCACAACCATATGGCCATATGGGACATCAGCAACCATTTTAAGAAAAATTTTCTGGGAAAATTGTGTGTCTGCAATTGCGGCAAAAACACCCCAAAGAATATATTGGCATTTGAAGATATTTCAATATGGAAAAGGTGATCGACCATGGGATTAAATGGATCCCCATGCGTACTCTATTTTCAGACAAAGCCAAAAACTCCCGCGGTCAATTTGGTAGATCTGAATTTTGAATTTTCCATGACAGATTGACCCTTAAAATGACGGAATCAAACTACCAACATTCCCCTTGAAAGGGCCTACAATTCTATATCTGTAGCTCTGGGCAAATCATACATCATAT